AGTTGTCAAAAGAAAACAGAAATGCTAGGATTTAAAAATAATGGATTACAGTTGACAGCTTCTCATTATCAACCTACCCATGTTTTTGTTATATTCTCTCTTTATATTATTCCTAAGATTGAAATAAAACAAAACAAAAAAAAGAAGAAGTAATCTGAGAAAACTCTATAGAATAATGTGAATAAGAAAAGATCACACGAAGAAAATATTAGATAGCATGCTTTTTATAATAATATCAGGCAATGAGTTATAAAAGAAAAAAAAAGAAACAACGATGCCATCGATAGCGACATAGGCTGTCTATTGAAATATAGATGCAACAATAACATATAGTTTAGAAGGAAGGAAAAAAGATAGAAAAATGTGTGGGTGAAGTAAAAGAAAGAAAAAGAGAAAGGAAGAATCGTCAACAATGTTGACGACTAGAGAACAAAAATCCGGATTTATGCGTACTTCTATACACAATACTTTATGTAACACAGCGCTAAATAGAAGATGAAGAAAACTGTCATTTGTGACTAAATAAATGAGGAAAAGAGAACAGAAGAAAAAAAACAAGAAAAACTAGTTGTTGTTATTCTCAACATCATCAAAGAAACATTGAGGAAAAAATCTTCTATAATTGTTGAACTCTCTTATTGAGTACTTAACAATGCTCATTTATTTATATTTCTGTAAATATATTTAACAGTATTTTTCCTAGAGTATATTTACTCGTCATTATTAACTTCTCATTTAGGCGTCTATTAACTAAAAAAATATAAGATATTTTTAAATTTAAAAATATATATCATGCAAGAATAAAAACATATTACATTAATTACAACCGTTTTGAAAGTTCTTTTTTTTGCATCATCAACTTTTTTCAGCACATCTGTCTCTTATAAATATATAAAAAAGAAAAAGAAAATTATGCTTCAATACTTCTAATATTTATTTTGTTTTAGACAAATAAAAGAAGTAGTTCATTAAATTGTCTATATATCTCTTGTTTTTTCTTCTCCTGTGACATATACAATATTAATGTCATTGAAAATATTGTCATGTCTGCTATTTAATATCATCTATATATTAAAAATAATCTGAAATAAACAAAATAAGGAATTCATTATGATAGAAAACATTTTCTTTCTTATTATAACATTAGTCTTCCTTTGACACAATCTCACAGAAAAATAAAAACGAAACAACGGCAAGAAATAAAAACTGAGTGTACACCGGATGCAAAATACATACACATATGTTTAAAATTAAAATAAAAAAAAGCAAAAAAAGAAAAAGAAACATATTTATATTATGGTATAAACATATGTTCATCCGATGGCAAGATCAGGCCTAAAAATAACATCTGACAAACGAGAAGGAATAAATAGGATTGTCGATTTGTAAGAGCACCATGCTTCACTTATGCTCATCTGGATCCTTATTATTTGCTTTGTCATACTTAGTTTTTCCTACAAAAAATATTATTTGAAATAAGAAATAAAGAAAAAATATTTATTTACCTTTTTTCTTAATAACCATCCAAATAATAAATATACTCAATAATATTATGAATAATAATAGAAGTACACCTGATATTATCATAATTATCATTTGTGATTCTGACGGAATTGATGTATGAGTTGTTGTTGATGATGTGGTTGTTGTTGTTGCTGTTGTTGTTTTTGTTGTTACTTTTGAAGGAATATCTAATAGATAAAATAAAATTTTTATCTTTATTTTCTAATATTTTCATACAAGTTGTTGTAGGTATTGAAACAATACCGGACAAGCAATCGGAATCACAACTTATTTTTTCTATTGAGTCGGGAACATGGAAATAATTTGAAGCCATTTCATTACGAAATTTTTCATCGTTACATCTTTCATATCGTCGACATGTCTATAGGAAAATATAAATATGAATAATTTCAATATATATATTGAATACTCACGCCATTACAACGGCGAATAATAAATTCAACTCGACTGATAAATGTATCCTCAACAGTAAATTTTATTGTACGTCCTGCATTTTCAAGAATACGTATTGATTGATCCATACATCTGAGAAAATAAATAAAATATATGAGATTTTTCTTTTTCGAACATTTCTATACTTTTCTAAAAACCAGTAATTATATGAAATTCGAAATTGATCATTAACACGTTTAGCCCATAGGATTTCAAATGATTCATTACGTGCTAAATATTAAAAAACAATTAGAAATCATATGCATCGAGTTAAATTTTATTTTACCTAATCCAGTCGCTGTTATATTAAAAGTATATAGAACGTCGTCGCCGTATTCTAATGGAGTTACAATTATTATTGGTGCAATTGGTTTATACTAAATGAATTTGGTTTTTTTCGAGAATTATATTTGATACTAAACTTACATTTATTCGACAATAAATACAAGCTTCTTCCTTAAGTTCTAATGATTTCTAAATAAAAGAATATTAAATTGATTTTTTAATAAAATAAATTTTTTTATTTTACTAATGAAACTTGTAAATAATTTGAATCAATACGTTTAACACCACATTGATTAATAAATGCTTGTTGTGTCTTAGCTTGTTTACAAATTGATGTTTGATTTGTAAATTTCCAATTTAATGCTAGACTCTATATAGAAATAAGAAATATTATATAAAATAAATTTCTATTTTCTTTTACAAACATTTATTTCATTGAATATTAAATAAGTACTGTTACATTTAATATTAATATCTGAACCAAATGATAACGTTTCGATAAAAGGACAATAATTATTGTCAATATTTGATGATAAACTATTTTTTCCTAGAAAAAAAGATAAGAACATAATGTAAAGTAATTCTTTTTTTGTTTTTATGTAAGAAATACTAATTACCTTCACAATCGATCATAAAAATGAATAAGATTAGAAGAAGTATAATGCTTTTCAATAAAGAAGAACAGGTATACATTGAATATCGGCATCGGCTAATGACGATTGTCTAAAGAGAAAAGAAATATTAGTAATTTTTTTCTCTTTCTCTATGTTATACATAATTTCTACACTCGATATTACATAAGAAACAGAATAATAGGAAACGATTTCATTGTTACAATTCATGGTCAATCATTCTACATACTTCTGATACATGGAAATAGTTACATATTCTATGATTGATTACAAAAGTCTTACATTTAAATAGAAGAAAAGAAAAACTATATGTTCAAATATTAGTTAGAGAAAAAATTTTTTTTACGTGATTCTTTCAATTAAAATTATTCTCGTTCTTTTTTCTCAGAATTAATTTTTCTACAACTCATTTTGAAAGAAAAATCTCGTGTACGTTCGGATTTTATTGGTTAAATGCCAAAACGGGTTTTTGCTTTGAAATCACACTATTTTGTTATGCTGCTGTTGTTGTTGTTGTTCTCGAGTACTTTATGTTTCTACATTCTTTTCTTTCTTTTTTCCATTCTGAGAGCTGCCATCGACAAACGTATTTATTTAACGTCGGCAAAAAAAAAGGAAAAATGAAAAAGAAACAAGCATGTGTAAAGAAAAAAATCCTATTTTATATATATACAAAAGAATAGCGTATCTTTTCAGTCGCATACATACTTTATATTAGTTATTTGTATCCTGTAGTGCTAAACTTCGAATATATTACATATCTCGGAAGAATTAATTATTAACTAATAGAGTCATTTTTGATGACGCATAATCGTTAGAAATAAGGGGTGATCTAAAAATAGAAAGTATATAATTAAATACTAATCGATATGATACTTGAGGAAATGCTTTATAATAAAAGACAAAATTAATTTTAATATATACGTCATTGTCTAGTAGAATTATTCAATATAAGAATCATAAATGGATAATAAATTATTCAACAAATCATATGACTAACTGGAAATTGAACGCAATTTATTATGAGTGTAAATATTATGATTACACCTACGCCCGGAAATTTATGAAATGAAATGTACTATTTTATCGACTCGATTATTTTTTCAGTAAACAAGTTTTCTGGCCGTATTTGCATGAAAAAAAAGCTAAGTCATGTCTACTAGAAATATTATATACCTTATGCAACAAATAAATAAAATATTACGCAGTTAATTTTACTGTCTGCGCTATTTAAATGAACTATTCGTTCAAAAAGAAAAGAACAAGAAATATATCCTTAGGAGATTTTATTATTATATTTGAAATCTAAATTTTTTATTATTTAAGTCACTTTTATAAAAAACAAAAGTAAAATGATACTAAATCCCTTGTATTGCCTTTGAGAAAAACATTTATTTTAGAATTTATTATGTCGGAGCATTAGTTATATTGAAACGAAAGATATTTTTCGTTCAAGATTACTCTAACACTCCTGAAATAATCTGCACAGAACCCTATACCATTATTTTATATTAAAGAAAATAATGGGTCAAACTGTCTGTGCTTATACATTATTAATCAAATAAGAAAATGTAGTTCAATAGATCTATTGAAATAATAGGATCAAATGAAATGAAATGAAATGTCAAGGATTTTGTTTGCACATTCCATTCCACTATCTTATATCGAATGATCTGTAATTTATTATATTACCTTCATAGTAGAAAAATATTTATGGAAATATTTATTAATAAATAAGTAAATAAACAATTTTTAATGAATATTTTTAAATAAAAATCATTTTTCAAATTTATTTATTTATGAGCGACATCTATATCGAGTATTTTGTTTCTTTCGGTGCATATAAATTGTTAGTGGTGAAGAACGCAAAGATTATTTGTGTATTGTTTTTTTTCCTACATATAAAATCTAAACTTTTAGATTATCATCTGTTTTTCAATCCATCCAGCCAATTTAATAATGTCATTATTAACTCGTCTCACCATTTCAACACCATCGGCTTTATGTCGTCTTGGTCAATTGTTGGCTAACCGACAAATTATCTTTCAACAACAATTACCAGTATTAAGTATGGCTAATTCAATGATGAACCCATCACAACGTACAATTGCTACATCAGCTATACGTCGTGATATTGATTCAGCTGCTAAATATATTGGAGCTGGTGCAGCCACTGTTGGTGTAGCCGGTGCTGGTGCAGGTAAAATATTTTCTTAGTTTATTTTTTAAAATTATTTGTTTTTTATTTAGGTATTGGAACAGTATTTGGTTCATTAGTAGTAGCATATGCACGTAATCCAAGTTTGAAACAACAACTCTTTTCATATGCCATTCTTGGTTTTGCTCTTTCAGAAGCTATGGGGCTCTTTTGCCTGATGATGGCTTTTATGTAAGTATATTTTTGTTATATTTTATTTCTATTTTAATTTCATTAATTTTATTTTAGGCTTCTATTTGCTTTCTAAAACCAATAAATAAGAACAAAAAACACGCGAATTCTAACATTTGTACAACAATGCGCATTCAATGTTTTTTTTCATATCTGTACTGCGTATTTGGTCATTGTCTCTAGCGTAATTTTTCTCATTCGCGTATGATTTACTTAGTTTCTAGTTCTATTTTCACTCTCTTTCTCTCTCTTTTTCCTATCCGAACTCTTTTACTCCGGTTTGTCTGTCTGTAATTTTAACATCAACATTTTTTTTTGTAGACAGTGTTTTTTTTTGCATTATAAAACAAACGGACAGACTTATATATATTCATATTCTTTTGATCAATTGAATTTGCACACACACACACGATAACAAAATATTATCAAGTATCATATTGAAAGAAGTTGCTAATTATTTATTATCTTTCTTTAAGATATCCAGAGTTAAAAGAGATAAAAAGAATAATAATAGTAGAACTCTTTCGAAGTATACATATATTTTTATTTAAGAAAGGTAAGTTCAATGTTCGTCGTTTCGAAAAAATTGGCATATCTACATCCTAAATTTCTTCGTTCAATATCGACTGATATTCTTCGAATTGGATCAGTTACTCGTTCTGTAACACCACGAATTGATAATGATCAATCACTTATACCAATATTTTATTATGAAAAAAATCTCTTTCCACCATCATTTGTTCGTCATCTTGAATGGTTAATGAAAAAAGATAAACTTGGACAAGATGCTTTATTTGTTGGTCCACCTGGTCCAACTCGTCGACATCTTATTCTTGCCTATCTTGAGTTAACACGTAAACCATATCAATATTTACAATTAACTCGTGATACAACAGATTCCGATATAAAACAACGACGAGAAATACAAAATAAAACAGCATTATTTATTAATCAAGCAGCTGTTAATGCTGCGATATATGGTCATACACTTGTTTTAGATGGTTTAGAAAAAACTGAACGAAATGTTTTACCTATATTAAATAATTTACTTGAAAATCGTGAAATGAATTTAGATAATGGACAATTTCTCGTATCAACACAACGTTTTGATGAATTATTAAAATTGTATACAAAAGAACAACTTGATAAATTAAATTTTATTCGTGTTCATGAAGATTTTCGTGTTATTGCTTTAACATTACCACCATTATCAGATTATAAAGGAAATAGTCTTGATCCACCATTAAGATCTCGATTTCAAGTATTTTAATAAATATATAATTTTTTTCATTATAATAATCTTCTTCTATATAGTTACGTGATATTGGAAATGAACCATTAACTTTTACTGAATATACAAATCTTCTTAAAACATTACATCCAAATATTGACAATCAATTTCTTGAGCAATTGCTTTCTTTAGCTTCATTAATTAATTCAACTGATTTAGAAACTTTAAAATTAATTCATTTTCCATTTGATCGTCTTGATCAATCTGTTCGTTTAGCTGAATTAATTCCAAATATAACCCTCGCTGATTGTCTTCATCGAATTTATCCATATGAAATTCTTTATAAAAATTCGAAAGAATCATTACAAGCTATTCAACATATGTTTAAAAAATTAACTATCAAACAACAAATAGAAAATTCATCGAAGAAAATTACTCAGATTAATCGAAACGAAACACAAGCAACTGTAGATTATGAAATGAATAAGAAACAATATCAGATTACGGTACCAGCTCATAATACATCATCACCAATTATTCCACCAACATTTATTAAAACTCCGTATCATGATCAACTTCTTTCGGATCTTATGTTAAGTCATGCTATTGGTGATATATGTTTAATTGGTCCTAAAGGTTGTGGAAAAAGTTTAATTATTGATCAATTTGCTTCGTTACTTAATTATCCAATTGAATATTTTGTATTGTATAAAGATTTATCAGCACGTGAATTATTACAACAACGTATTACAAATGAAAATGGCGATACTTTATGGCAAAATACACCATTAATAGAAGCAGCTATTCATGGTCGTTTACTTGTACTTGATGGTATACATCGTTTAAATAATGATACATTAGTTTCATTACAACGAATTATTCAAGATCGTGAACTTTTCTTACCAGATGGTACTCGTCTTCTTCGGTAAAAAAATCATATTTTACTTAATTATTTTCTCTAATGTTCTTTTTTAGTCATGATCGATATGATAATTTAAAAAATCCAAATAAAAATATTCGTCGAATCCATCCATCATTTCGTATAATTGCTCTTGCTGAACCACCATCAAATACTAATCCAGGATCAAATGAAAGTTCTTCAATAAAATCATCCAGTGAACAAAATTGGTTAAATGCTGAAACATTAAATTTATTTTTATATCATCAAATGCGTTCATTGAATTTAGCTGAAGAACGTCAAATAATCTATTCATTATTATCATGTTCAAATCAATCAATACCAGCTATTGATCATCTTCTTCAGTTTGTTCATGAACTACGAAATTCACCTGAAACACAATTAAAAACTGTAGCACGATCATTATCAACACGTAATGTTTTACGTATTGCAAAACATTTAAAGAATAATTCATCGAATTATCATACACAATTGCGTGATCAATTAATTCGACAAACATCAGCACCATTTCTTCCACGACTTGTTCAAGATGCTTTCTATGAAGCATTAAATAAATCAGGTCTTGGAAAAAATCAAGAAACGATTTCATCGACTATTAATTGGAAACAATCAACTACGGATAATAAACAATTGAAACCATCGTTTGAACATGCAGCAAAAGTACCATTTACAATTTTTTATGAAAATCCAATTCATAGTGAAATTATTCAACAAATGCATGAATCATTTTTATTAGGTGAACATTTACTATTAATTGGACCACAAGGGTAAATGGAATTATCTTTCTTTTTATTCCTTTTTATATCGATCAATTTTTAGAGTAGCAAAAAATCGTATTGTTGATCATTATCTTCAAACATTAAAATTACCTCGTGAATATATTCAACTTCATCGTAAGAAAATTTTGTTTTTCAACAAATTGTAGCTTGTAACTGTGTGTTTTTTTTCCCTTGAGCATCACTAATCGACTCAGAAGGGATGGTCCCCAACTTGCAAATCGTTTTTGAGCTGATATTTTAGCCATAGGTAAGAGATCATGAGACTAGAATAACCCTAAGAGGGTTAGTGCTATTAGGCCTTTGGGGCTGAGTTATACCCGTTTTACTGGTTTTTTAACTATTCTTGAGTTATTGCATTTACAAAATCTAACCATTTTGCGGAAAAATTTAGCGAAATGACTGGTTTTTGAAAATGCAATAACTCAAGAGGGGTTTATTCGTTTTGTCTGAAATTTTCACGGTATTCTAGTGGTCCTTAGATCTCTTGATAGATGAAATTTCAGATCAAAATTCGATAATTTACTTCTTCACGGAAACCCGATGCCATAGGTAAAAATCCAGTAAGACGGTATAACTCAACCCCAAAGACCTAATAGTACTAACCCTTTTAGAGTTATTCTAGCCTCATGGTCCCTTACATATAGCCAAAATATCAGCTCAAAAACGACTTACAAGTTGGGGACCATCCCTCGTCAGTACAGTTCAGAGTATCTATTAGAATAGTCAAAAGTAGATGATTAGAGTTTTTCGGGAAAACTTAGATATCCGTAAACTTAACTTGATCTTATTTTGTCACAGGTGATACAACTGTTCAAAGTCTTACAATTCAAGCAAATATAATTGATGGTCGAATTGTTTACGAAGATAGTCCATTGATAAAAGCAATTAAAGAAGGTTCAATTGCAGTTATTGATGAAGCCGATAAAGCTCCAACAAATGTGACTGGAATTTTAAAATCTTTAATTGAAAGTGGTTCAATGTTTTTAAGTGATGGAAGACGTGTTTATCCAAAAGATACAGGAGATATAACAACAATACCCTCGAATATGATTATTCGAACACATCCAAATTTTCGAATGATTGTTCTTGCAAATCGACCTGGTTTTCCATTTCTTGGAAACGAGTAAAATCCATATTTACCTTAAATTCAACAATAGTTCTTTTTTTGTGTTTAGTTTTTTCTTGAGTTTAGGTGATCATTTTTCAACATTTCCTATACTTAATCCACCTCGTGAAAGTGAAATAATTCTTTTACAAAATTTTGCACCAAATCTTCAACGTGAAAAACTTGAACAATTAGTTGATGTATTTACTGAACTACGTCAATTATCAATTGATGGAATTATTTCATATCCATATAGTTTACGTGAACTTGTTTCAATTGTTAAACATTTAAATATGTTTCCAAATGAATCCTTAGCTGATGTTGTTCGAAATGTATTCGATTTAGATAATTATAATACAGATGTTATTGATCGTATACGATCAATTCTTCATCGGCATGGAATACCATTTGATATTCAAAAACGAACAGTTAATTTAACTAATAGTCACCCCTTAAAACTTCTTTCCAATCAAGAAACATGGCCAATGAAAATATTAGAGAATGAAAATTTAGAATATTCATCATCACCGATTATTTTCAATGAAAAATCTAGTAAACAACCGATTAAAACAATTGAATCGATACAACGAAGTGATTCTCGGACACAAAATTTTTCTGAATTAATGTTTAGATATCGATTACCATTAGATGAAACAACTTATGTACATGATCTTAATGTTTTAAAAGAGAATAAAACTGTACTTGTACTAACTGGTAATCCTATTTCATTGTGGACATTTAAATTAGGCGAAAATCAAGCAAAAAAAATTGATTTAAATTCAATATTTACTAATAATACAAATCGATTTACAACACCAAATTATCAAGTAAATTTTCAATCGATTTTTTATTTATTTAATGTATTTTTTTAGCTTTGTGTAATTCCTGGAAATGACAAACAAGTTGTTGTTGGTGATTTACCTAATCAAATATGGACATTAGTTGATATAGATAATGGTCAGAGTTCAGTAATTCAATCGAATAATTCATCATTAACACAAACTATAACACGTAAATTTAATGAAATGCTTGCACAACGCACGGCTTCAACATCTCGATCAGTATATAATTCAACAAATGGTCAACTTCTTCAATATATTCATAATCATAATTCAATTTGTATTTTAAATTTTATGAAAAATATCGTTCAACAAATAAAACTTCCATTTCATATACGTCATGCTATTCCATTTGGTGATCAATGGTTATTAACAGATCATGTTCAAAAATCTTCATCTTCATATCTACTTAACACAAATCATGAAGAAAAACCAATTCTATCAATGGTTCAATATAATCTTGATACAATTGGTTTAGCTAATAGTGGAGGAGATTTCATTAAGAATTCTTTATGGTTTTCAAGTTCAAATGATTATTTAGGGAAGATAAATAAAAATGAAAATGATAATTTAATTGTTGAGCGATATAAACGATCGAAAGTCTTATCATCGAATGATGCATCACCACAAGAAATATTTGAAAAACGAAGATTACAAACATTTATTAATAAACAACAATCATTGATTACTTCATTTTTTAATAAAAATGAAATTGATAAAAAATATATGTATGTTTCATAAATTAATTTGCTTTAAATAATTTATTTGATTTCATTTTTAAGAACGAAAACTGATATTCCCGATTCATCAATTCTGAGTTATATTGAATTAATCGATTTAAAACGTCATTTAGTGACTTATATTCCAATTCAACGTTTACAAGAGCAAAATTCTCGTTCATCAACATCTCAACATGAATGGCATATGCAAACGAAATCTAGTTCAGGTGTTATTGCTGCTCAATGTGATGATGATTCATTAATTACTATTGATAGTCGTGCTAATATTTATCATTGGGAAATTACACCGAGTAATTTACAAATTTCATTAGATACTTGGAGTAAACAAACAGGTCGAGTAGGAGAACATAGTCTTGATATTGAATATTTAAAAGATGGAAAAACAGATCTAAATGGACCTAAACATGGAAAAGTTGATCCAGAAAATCAACCACATGTGGGTGGAAATCAATGGGCTGGTGGAAGTGGTGGTCGAGATACTGCTGGTATATTCTACTTTCATAAAGATAAATATTTTTATTTTTATATTTAATTAGGTCTCGGTGGTATTGGAGGACCCTATCGATTAGATAGTGGTCATCAAGTTTATCAAGTACCTGATGATGTAAAAGCAGCAGTACCTGAACATATTCGAAAAGCAGCAAAAGAATTAGGTCAAAAAGTATTTAAAGAACGTCTAAAAGAAATTGAAATGTCTGAATATGAACATGAAGTTTATGAAAAATATTTACATAAAATCTCAAGTGAAATAAAAATGCTTCGGTCAATTATTGAATCATTAGAAGCTAAATCACATGATCGTCAATGGGTGGTAAAAATAATTTTTTCTATTTAAGTATATATACAAAATTATTTTTATTAATTTAGCGTCATCGTACAACGGGTGATTGGGATGAAAGAAAATTAATTGAAGGTATTATTGGAGAAAAATCAATTTATAAATATCGTGCCGATGTTCCACCTGAACCTGGTAGTCCTCAAACGAAAGCTAAACGTCTTCGTTTAGTTGTTGATTTGTCTGCATCAATGTATCGCTTTAATGGTGTTGATAATCGTTTAGAACGTCAATGTGAATGTGTATTAATGTTTCTTGAATCATTAGCTGGTTTTGAACATAAATTTGTTTATGATATTGTTGGTCATTCCGGTGATGAACATTCAATCGAACTTGTACGAAAAAATCAACCACCAAAAAATAATAAAGAACGTTTAAAATTATTAAAACTTATGTATACACATACAATGTTTTGTAGTTCAGGTGATAATACATTTTCAGCTTTAAAAACAGCTATTGATGCATTACAAGCTGAACCCGATGATACAGTTGATGAACGTTTTGTTATTGTTATATCAGATGCTAATTTTGATCGATATGGTTTATCACCAAAAGTCTTTGGAAAAATGTTACAATCGAATGAAAATGTTCAATGTTTTGCAATGTTTATTGGATCATTAGGACAACAAGCATCATTGTTACAACAAAATCTACCATCTGGAAAAGGTTTTGTTTGTTTAGAAACAAATCAAATACCAAAAGTATTAAAGACTATTTTCACCTCCGATGTTTTGCATTAATTTAATAAATTAAAAAGTTATTCTTCAGAAATAAGACATTAATTTCACACGCTGAAACTCCACTCAATTGATTGAAGACAGCTAATATCGTATTCTCTATGTTCTATCAATAGCAAAATAAAATTGATTTATTGATATCCTTGATGCTAATAAAGTATGATGAGAAAATGAGTTTTGTTATGAATGAAATGAAAAAACAAAGATTGTGATACTTAATTATTAAAATATATATCAATGTCATCAATATTAGATTTGATTTATTATATTTTCTAGGTAAGAAAAGAATATATATCAGAAAATAGAAATCTATACACGACCATACATATAGATGTTATGTTCTAGATTTAAAATTCTCAAGAACGTAAATATTTTTTGAAATGTGAGCAGGATTATTCAGATATTGACGTCAAATATATATATGTATGTGTGTATCGTAAGGATGTTAATATATGAGATTATTATGAAAATTTATTCAATCTGATTGAAATGAAAACAACCGAATATAAATTGTTTGATGTCACGATATAATTTATGTGACATTCTATGCTACCGTTTTATGATTCATTTTTTTCTATTTTCTACAACTTAGTAATATTTATTTCTGATGATACACGAAAGAATCGACAATGACGTCATAGGAAAAGAAAAGAATATAACGATTGACGTGTGCTTTTAGTACCATATTTGTCTTGTTAGATGTTGTTGATTCAGAAAAGAAAAGAACGAAAGAAAATAGTAGAAGAAAAAGAAGAAAAAAAAGCTACCGCGTAGGACGACAAGACGATTGTTTGTCATTTATTCCGTCATAGTTCGAAAGAGAAAAGAGTATATATAAAGCAGCCCAAGCCGTTATCATATATTATTTCTAAGTTTTTCTCACGTCTACAATAACCAAAATAGAATGAGTAAGTTTATATTGTATTTAATCGATTATATATTCTTATAAGATTTCCATTATGAGCGAAAAAGAAATGTAACAAGTATATTGATTACTTCGATTTATAGTTGAATATATTACCTTATATAAGAAACTTTTAATAGAACAACACGTAATAGAAGAAAATCTGTCGCATGTTTATAACAAAGGATTTCTTAAATGTCAAGAATTCAAAAAAAAAGAGAATACTTAATATTGAGACGTGAAATGTTATAACATAGAGCGAAAATGTAGAAATCGATTTTTTTATTATTAAAAACTAATTTCTATTTATTTTTATTTAATTAGATTTTATTACAAAGCAAATTGAAAAAAAAGTCGGTATAGACTTAAATGGTGATGGTGTAATCGGCTCAGGTATAATTTAATTTAAATAGACTTCTAAGTAGTTCTTAAAAAAATCTTATTTTCTTATTAAAAATAGGTTATGGCCGTCATGGATATGGTGGTGGTGGTGGTTATGGACAACCACATGGCGCTGCAGGAGGAGGTTTGATTAATCAATTAGAAAAAGCTACACATATGGATTTGAATGGTGATGGACGTGTAGGTGGTGGTTATGGTGGTCATGCTCAACCTTACAATCAGTATGGACCTCCTGGCTATCCTCCACAATACAATCAATATGGAGGTGCACCTTGTCCTCCACAATATAATCAACAATATGGTGGTGGTCCTGGTTATCCTCCACAATATAATCAATACGGTGGTGCACCTTGTCCTCCACAATATAACCAACAATATGGTGCACCTGGATATGGACCTGCTCCATATCATGGTGGCGGTGGTGGTGCTGGTGGTGGTTTAATTAATCAATTAGAAAAAATAACAGGCATGGATATTAATGGTGACGGTCGCATCGGTGGCGGTTATGGCCATCCACAACCTCACAACCAATACGGTCGTCATTATTAAAATGACATCAAATTGTAGTACAAAACATCTTTCTTTTTCTCTTATTGTAAATGCTACTCTCGCTATGTGAATACTGGTTAAATTTTTTTTAAGCGATTATTGTATATTTTTTAATTTATTCAAATAATAGCAGCTTAGAACAGTGAGACTTTAAATGCAATCGGATAAAAATTTATATTATAGCGAACAATTCTTACATTCATGCATAACTATGGGAAAGAGATATTAATCATCGATGGGGAAATATTTAATAACATAGAAGTATTTCATATGTATCGTTATCTCTATTTTTACGAACAATAACTAAATATTGTACGTGACGAAACTGAATAAATCAATAGATTAGAAGGATTCAATATATTTATCAGTCGTATTCGACAAATCGTTAAAATTATTTCTTTTCTCTATTTTGAGAAAAAGTACTTGTTATATGTGTATACAATTTCATTCAAAATTCGTTATATGAGTATGAAGACACGACGAGGATGTATTTGAATACATAATCACATAGATTAGATCAGGATAAAGTTTTAATCTTGAGGATGAATTTCAATGAGAATTTTATCAAGGTATGATTATGCGCGTTCGAAATCGTCGATATAAACATCTAATTCACAAATATTTCAAGTGCAATTATAACGAAAATGTTAATTTTTAGTAGCGAAAGATCTAGCCAGTCGATATATTATTTTTGTGTTAATCAATTTTATTGAAAGTTAAGAAACAAAAATAGTCTCAGTACTATCGATATAAATACTTTTGATTAAAATACAGTATACAAAAAAAAAATTCACCATTGTATAGAATAATCCATCACTGTGTTCTTAACAAGAATAATTAAGAGAAGAAAACTTAATTATCTTGGTTCAGTAAGTGAATTTTCTAAGCAAATAAGTACCATGAAAAGTGGTAATAAACTTGTACAATATTCAAATTCTTTATGATTATTAAAATCAATAATTTGTTGCTGACGTATAAGTGTTAAAATAGCCTTTAAGATATCTTTTCCGCCCACTTTATCTTCGAGATAAAGACGTAATTTAAATATAATTTCTTCGGGTGATGCATTTACTTTTTGTGCTTCATGAACACAATGCAGACCATCGAGATAATCATTTGTTGTTAACATTGGCATTGGTGGTGTTGATGATGATGAACAACAAGTAGCGATATGAACACTTTCAGATGAAGATGATGGATCATTCATATCAACGATGAAGATAAAAATCGCATTAAAAAAACTCAGTAATTACTTACTTTTAGATTTAAAAAAGAGAGTTACAGTCTTCTAATAAGATTAATTGATCATAGCGACAGTCAACAATTCACCAATAAAAACCTATGAGATACAGATGACGGTATAATACAGAAAGAAAAATTTTTTTCTTTCATTAAATTATAAGAATATCCCAAGTATGTAATAGAATGACCTCTCGTCTGTCTAACTATCAGAAAATGTCTAATTAAATCTAAATTATATGTAATGACAAAACTTCTATTGTGATTTGTTTTCATTCCAAAGGTAATATGTGATTATTGTAAGAATGAATGTACTCTCCTTATTATGCAACCTGACACTAGACTCTACTATATAATCAGAATTGGTTCAGTGTATTATTATTAAATGACCCTCGTGTATAAATTCTTTCAAGCGTGACTATAGCTGTATAATCTGTTTCTTACCATTGGATATATAAGTAAACGAATATTATCGATTCATATTTCATTCAATGTTCAAAACAATATTCGAACATTCTCTTTTTGCATTATTTCTTTTGGCATTTGCTACTGTTATTTTTATACCGTCTTTAGTTATTGGATCAATAGGAGCACATCGTCTACGAATTACTCGACAACAACAATATATTTATACAAGTACAACATGTTTCGTTTCGAACATGTCAGATGTAACACTTTCCTATGATTGTAATTGCGATGGATGTCATCCATCAACATGCTATGCTGAACATTTTGCGGTTCAGTATCAAATTGAGAATGGTACAAAGATATCCAGTATAATTAATATTGATCAGATACCAGAACTATTACAAATTCAGGTAAATTTGTATTGATTTTTTTTGAAAACAATTCTCCATTATAAAGATGAGACATTATGTACATGTGGTTTATTTCTTTGATTTTTATAAAGGTAAATCCGATGATATTTTTACTTTAGATTAACAATAATTACACATGTTTTTATGATCGAACAGACGCCACTAAAGTTCAATGGTTAATGCCCAGTGAACGGCCTGCATTAGCGATGCTTATTGTTGGTTTTGGTATATCTGGTTTAGTAACTCTAACAGCAGTTATTAGTCAAATATGGTGTCTTATAAAACAACATTTTACTCTACCATTTTCTCATGATCGTTTTTGAATTACTGTGACATTTTCATAGTAATTTATATTATATTCGATATATCTCAACATATGATTTCAATGGTTGTAATTTTATTTAATAAAATATCACAGACGAAACTGATTTCATGTATGTAATGTTTAAAAAAAAACTTCATTTTTTCTCTAAAGTGAATTATTTAATGAAAGAATGAAACGTTCAATGGTTAACAAAAAAACAAACATAATGTTTAAATCTAAACGTAGGTATCATTATTAATTTGAATATACTAAAGATGCTAAATTAAAAAAGACATGGGTTCAAACTAAATCTAGTTTGCCTTTAAATACTTTTCACATGAATGGATCATCACCTATACTCGAGGACAAATCTAAAGTCTATTTCCTTTTTTCCTCCCTCCGATAGAATGAGCAGCAATATTTTCCACTACGCACGAAAGCTAAAATTAAAAGAGAAAAAAATGATGTGGAAATTTTTCTCCGATTATAGAGATATAAAGTAAGTAGAGGAAGACGGTACCACAATATTTCAATACATAAACGTTGTCACATCAGTAGAACTATTTATCACATAATCTCTAAACATAAGAAGATTACAACACAGTTTATTGCAAATTGTTCTCACGCAAAATACTACTTAGATATTATATGCAACATACATGAATAGAGGATTCAAAACAACTAGGTTCTTCGATTCTCATAGCATTGGTAATTTTACAAAACTTACTATTTTATCTCGAATCAATATTATTTCATAAAAGCTCGAAATAATAAATTATCCAGATTTATTATGGATGTAAAAGATTTCTATGTGAGTTTCACGATTGAAAAATATGATGATAAGATAAGAGAAATCTACATAAGTATTTTTTTCAATAAAGATAAAACACTATTGCAATAATTCGTTGATAAAAGTTACAATTCTTATAACTACTAATGTAAAATAAAATATTTATATAAATTATTATCCAATTAAATTTTGGTTGTTATCATTTTGAAGTTAAATATGATCCTTTGAATTCCTTACAACATAGTACCATTAATATGATAACATATTTATGTAACTGTCATTTTTCTTTTCTTTACAGTGAACAAGAGTAGATACAGAAGGCCTTGATGCTTTTAGCTCGATACTTGTATCAGAAAAGAAATACAATCAGATCAAATTCAAGTACTTGTTACACGTCACTTATGCATTTTATTTTATAACTTAAGCATGTAATAAATACTCATATAATGATTACGTTCGTTTTTTTGACAATATTTATATCGAGTATCTATACCTGTTGATCATCAGAAATAAGCAACAAAAAATAGTTCTTCATATTGCACAGTTTTTTTGATTATTTTTCAAATTGATAATGAAAACTTCAAAGATAATTAAATTCAAATCATAGAAAAATATTTTAAGTATCTATGAATTCATATTTTCAATAATCATACTTCAATCACATATAGAATCACCATAAAATCATATGGAGGAATATTGAATTTTATCTTCAATTGATAAGACTCTTTTTATGCAAAAGTACATAATCAATATTATATATACACATCGATCAAACTATGAAATATAAATACAACAAGTCATATTTGTTACAAACCAAAATTACTGTCAATAAAATATTCTCATTATGGAATCACTTATCCGGATGATTAATTACGTCAAATTTAGACATGTACGGATGATTAAGAAATAATAATACTATAATATTCTTATATAAAATAAAACTATTATCTTTTCTTTTTATTAGTATAAATAAGTAACAGATGCATTTTTGTTTACTTTGATCAACATCTAGCGCTCTCTATGAACATTTATATATGGATTGCTTTACCATTCGACCAGTCTATTAAGAATTAACATGGTCGTTGTTGGTTATAATATGCATGCATGCGCGAAAAACTCTCTCTCTAAGGAAAGAGAATTTTGTTCTTCACCGCTCGCCAACCAGCGCTTATTATTACTGCTTCTGATTTTTTTTTTCTTCTTTTCTTCTATGTCTCTTTATACTCTCTTTCTTCGCTTTGGTAACAGAGCAGAATGTATACCGGAGTTCGTTCGTTTGTCTGTCTTCTCTTTTGCGCCTCTTTATCCCTTTCGTTGACATTTGACATCTGCTGTTGCTTGCTGCATATATATATATACGTATATGTATATAAATGTATATATATATACATATATATGCATTTACTTACTTTCGAACACACACCAAAAAAAAAAGAACTGGGTCACACTATACAATCGAAGGACAATGACGCAGTGTATAATCTTTCGTTTTTCTATTTTATTTCAGATCTAACTTCCAATGAACTAAAAAAAAAGTAACTACCAAAGACAAGTAAGAATTTATTGATTTTTTATTTCTGTCATTAATTATTCTATTTATCATAGTGGGCACTTATATTGTTGAATATGATTATATTGCCAAATCATCTGATGAATTAACTATAAGAAAAGGAGATATTATAACAGATGCTATACCAGCTGAACAAGGATGGCTCAAAGGAGAATGTCGTGGAACATTTGGGTATGTTTTATATTGAATTTAAATGAAAATATGTATCTTTTTTTCTTCTTCTTTTAGTCATTTTCCAGAAAATTTTGTTACTGTAGGTTAAAAAATAATCTTCCATTTTTATTTTCTATTGAAATTTTTTAGCCATTGACAAAAGAGAAAGCTAAAAATCGAACATTTGCAAATGAACTTGGAGCACGATTACAATCGGCTGTTAATGGAAATAATGTCGGTAATAAGAGTGGTACATTAAGAAAACGACCTACAAATGATGATACTCGTGAGTTGAATTTTAATTTTCAAACTTCCTTTTTTCTTCTCTCTCTTATTCAGCTTGACTATTAATATTCTTTCGTATATTAAAAGGCCTGTATGTATTTACATTACGTTCAAAATTCAATCATCAATCGTTTTCTTCGCACTTTATGCTTTATTTTAATTTCTTTTTTTTTTTTCTTTATTTTCCATTTCGTTGTTAATGCCCGCTGCTATTTTGTCTCTTTGACATTAGTGTATTGTATATTTATGTTTTAGTTTTTCAATCACAACAATCAAACAATTTACCAAATGGAACTTTATTTCAAGTTAAAGTAGCATATATTTATACACCTGTACATGAAGATGAATTATCAATTAATCCAAATGATATTATTAATGTCACACGAATGGTTTGTTTCGAAATTTTTATTAAATGAAACAAAAAAAAATTAATTTTTTAGGTCGAAGAAGGTTGGTATGAAGGTACTCTCAATGGTAAACTTGGTTTGTTTCCATCAAATTATGTCACACGTATTACTGATGAAACAAGTATGATAAATTTTTGCTAATTGAAAATTTTTTTATACCTTTAATTAAATAGATCATAAAAAAGATCCACCAATTAAACGTAAACCAGTTAATGGTCTTAGCGCATTAGTTAATAAAGAAGTATATTTAAAAATAAACGATTTATTTTTTGTATATAAATAATTTATACTAGGTCAATAAATCAGTTTCACCAACATCAATAGATACTCCACAATCTCAACAAAAAACTCCACCGACGCCACCATTATCAGCGTCGAAAAAGTCAACACCAGTAAAAGCTCGTGTTTTATTTGATTATAAAAAAGCAGCTGATGATGAGTTAACTTTAACAGTTAATGATATTGTTACGATACTTGACAAACATCTTGAAGATGAAGGATGGTGGAAAGGTGAACTTCATGGTCGTGTTGGAGTATTTCCTGGTAAAAATTTCTTTGTTTCTATTCAAGGAAATATTTTTTTGTTTTAGATAATTATGTTGAAGAAATTCCAGCATCATCAATAGTTTGTTGATTATTTTGAAAATAATGATGAAAAAGTAATTTTTTGTTTTTTGTTATTCTATAGAATACAAAGCATCGACCAAATACACCTGAAGCAGGAGCAAAAAATCTTTCTCAAACATTACCAAAAACAAAAATAACTAATGGAGGTAAATAATCTTGAAATTTGAAAAAGAAAAACAAAGCATTTGACAAGAAAAATACTTTTTAATAGATTCATCTCATGATTTTTCAAATAATTCTCATCATACAAAACCAACATCGATTAGTGATGAAGAAGGTAAATAGAATAATAATAATAAAAATATCGGTTTATTGATATATACACATTAAGGATATTCATCACGTAATCATTATGCAGAAATCAATAATCTTGATGCTGTCGGAACAACTGAAAAACTTAGTGGTTTTAATAAACCAAAACCTTTATCAGCTAAACGACCACCATCATCAACAATACGAAAAAATGTTTGTTAAATCAATAGAACAACAAAATATTCATTTTTTCTATATATAGGAAAATGGATTGAGTAAAACAACAGGTTCACTCGATGAAACAAATCATAATAATCGTCCACAATTTAATGATATTAAGGTAAAAAAAATGGACTTGATGAAAGTACCTAAGAAAAAAAGGATGATTTCTGCACTTCCTAAGGCAATAAAATGCTCATTAAATATTAATCATGTCAGAATTTTGATATGTTTTCTTGTCAAACAATAGAAAATTAATCGGATACTTCTATACAAAGATAATATTTCACATGACTTATCATAATCACACACAGGTGTCATTCGAACATTTTGATAATTTAAACGATCGAAATTTAAAGAACTAATTTATTATAATATTATTTAGAATGAAAATAAAGTTCATACACCATCACCTCCATCATCTCAACGAGGTAGAAAATTAATCTATAAAATTATTTAAGAATATGATAATCTATTTTTAGAACCAGGACAATTAGAATCTCCACGATATACAAATCGTCCATCGTCTCTTCATTCAGCATTGATGAATAATAATAATCATCATACAAATTCTTCTCTCAATGGTACAACAGATTTATCACAAACAGCAACAAATTCTTCATATATTAATGGAAATATGTATAATAGTAGTACAATAACAATTGAACAATTACATAAAGATTATATGAAAATGAAAGTTTCTATGGATGAAATGAAGATAAAATTTGCTGATCAAATACGTGATCTTGTTGGTGAATTAGATGAAGAGAAAAAAGCACGTGCAACATTACAAATTGAACTTGAACGTCTTCAAAAACAAATACACAAGTCTGCTCTTGTTAATTAAATAGAAATTAATCGACAAGAACATACAAACAAAAGAAACCAAATGTGAATAAATATTGTCTTCCTTTTTTCTTACACATCTCAAAGAGAATTTTTTTTTGTTTTGTCCTATCAGATACCTGTTTCTGTCTCTCTCTCTCTATTAAATCATTGACTGATATTAACATTTGTTTTCTTTTTGTTCATTCATATCAGACTGTATTTCTCAACATTCCTTTTGTTTTCTTTTGTCTTCTTATTTTGCGAACAGTTTTTTATGTTCATCTAGTTGAGTATGGCTGTTTGCGTAGATGATGCATGTGTTTTGTTTTCCTTAGACATAATCTTTATCTTTCGCTTTAAATGCGTGAATTATATCACAACAACAAGACGATATCATTAAAACTGATTTGTCCTGTGTACATGAGTATTTTTGTAAAAATTTGTTTGTTGGTTTTTTTTCTAATCATATAGATTAAACATAACATATTTGATTAAATACTATGTTATAGAATACGAAAAGAATTATCGAATTTTCATTTTAAAGATATACAAAGATGTTTCTCTTTATTTCTTTTCATTTTCAAAGTAATATTTACTGTCATGGTAATATTTTTGTCTATAATTCAATCTTACAGAGTAGTTCATTTCCATTATTAATTAGATCTTTGTCAAAAGACTATAGTTTTTATGACATTAACATATTTTTTCTATTCATAATTAACTTCTTTCATCGTAAAGTACTTGTTTTATCTTCCATTTCGTTATTCAAACAGAAGCTTTACACGAATATTACATTTATTCTACTACGGATTCTCACTTATGACAAAAATTTACGTCATATATCTTATATGACAGATAAATTAATTTATATTTTTCTAAGTAATATCTTATATATAGTGAAAGAATACATAAAAGCTTTTCCTGTTCGAAAGAGAGTTCAGATATTCTATTGTGTTAATCTTGATCTTAAACTAAATATCATCTAAAATCAAACTGTTTGATTCGGTCAATAAAAAAACATTCATTATAGCTATTTTTAAATATGCATACATATTAATTATGACTGTCATTTATCATAAACTTCCTTTGGTATAAATGTCATGTCTAATCTGATTGTTTCTATTTCGTATTCAATTTCTATCACGAAGTTCCATCTGTACTATGACAAACAACAAACATGAAGATTAATTATAAATAACTTAACGTCTAAATTGCCAAATAATAAATATCACTTAGTATTAACAGAGTAGAAATTCGAAGTATAATTTATCGATTGAATACTTTTTTCGTTTAACATTTAGATTCTAGTATATTCATGTACGTAATTTATTTTCTTAAAGCCGAACTTTCAAATTTCTAATCGTTGTTTTTTTTTCTCCTCCATATAGTTTATTCGATTTGTCATATTTGATTGTAAATTATACGTCTCAACAAGTTGATTTAATTATAAACGACATGAACATAACATATCAATTATATATATTTTCTTAGTCAATAATAATATTTTGAAAAACATCACAGTTATTTAACATGAAATTCTATATTTATATGTACTACGTGATTTCTACAGTTCAAAGAAAATCTACACTTTTTAAATAATTACATTGTCTAGTTGTATACCTGTTGAATCAGGCAAAACAAACTTACTCATCCAGGTCTTTATTATATTTGATAATGATCTCATTCTTTTATGTTTATTACAAATAGAAAACATCATATCTAATCTTTTCATAAAATCTGTTACCTCGATAAAGTAATATCTCTTGTTTTTGCTCTTTTATGAATAATTAATTTGATTATCGATAAATAATGCAACATACTATTTCTTTGTACTTTCAATATCTCTCTTTTTTTTTATTGAAATAATTTTCTAGATCAAGAAAAAAAAACAAGAAGCGAGAGAGAGAGAGAGCAATAGAACAAAAGATCGATTTGAGAAAGCGAATAATAGCAACACATGTGAGAAACAAAGAACACACAAAAACGCAATGGATGTTGTCAAAAAAAAATCCTTTTTTTCTTTTTTTTTATCAATTCTGCTAGAAAAAAAAACAAAAAGACACTGGGTGGAAATACGTAAATAATAATAATAATATAACAATGATAATATTCTATCAATAGAAGATAGGAACTATTGAAGAGTAAAAGAATAATCAAGGTGAGAGAAAATTCTATTCACTAGTTTTTTTTCTTTTCTCTCTCTTATTAAGCTACCATAATGAGAGAAAAAACCAAATATCATTACATGACCAGAATGAATAAGGAAAGAGAGAAAGAAAGGATACGAGCAAATAATAAGCTCGAAGAATTTTTGCTTATATACATGATCAATCAAAAAAAAACAAATAAACAAAACATCAGTTTTCCTTTTATTATCATTGTTTATTTTTTACCAACTTTTGCTTGAGGTTGAGGTGGAGCTGTAGGCGCACGGGGTGGTGTTAATGGTCGACCACTATTTAATCCACCATATTGATATTTAGGTTTTTTTTCACTTGGTTTCAAAATCTAATTATAGAATCGATGTATATATATATAGAAAGAAGGAAAACATGTAAAAATGTTATTACTTGAAAAGAGCACATAAGTGATTCATCAACAGACATCATTCCACCAGCATTATCGAATTCACCGCAATAATTAGGCGCAGAAAATAGTGTTACTAATTGACGTTTTGCAAAAAATTCATAACCATCTTCTACAACCTATTTAATTATAAATAGAAAAACGTTTTTTCTCTCCCTAAGGAAAATTTACGTACTTGATGAGCACGACAAATCAAGTCCATATCATGTCGATTTAAAAACTAAAAGTAATGGAATTAAATATAAGTATTTAATTTTTTATGTAATCTACTTTAGCGACAACATCAGCTCCAAATGTAAATGAAACACCACGATCATTTTCACCCCAACCTTGAGTTTCTTTATCAGGATCAGACCTGTCATAATAATAATATTAGGAATTAATAAACAAGAAAACAAACAAATCAATCACATACCATAATAAGTCACACAGTAAACCTAAAAAAGAACATGAAAATAAATATAATATTTTTAATTAAATGAAAAACATACCAGTATCAGGTACATCAGTTGGACGCATTACCCGCCGAATTTGTTCCATAGTTTGAAGATCAGGAGATAAACCTTTAATTAATAAATACAAATTGATTTTTTATTAACATTATAATTATGACATCAAAATCGATCATTATCTTGTTTTCATCAAAACTGAAGAAGTCATCGAGTAAACAATCAAATGTATTTAGAGTACAGATGAAATAAAAGAGAATTTATGCTCGATTATCATGGATAATATTATCAAAGATACTTGATACATTATCATATGTAATATAGCCTAATATCAAAATGAAGGAGATGATCAATCTTATTGACCTCTAACACAACATTGTCTAGATCAGATAGACAATATACAAAATATATTTCAAAGTATTATATTCTCATACCTCCGTGACAACAAAATATTTTTTCGTCGATAATAGCAGCAATAGGTAAACAATTGAAACAATCAGTAAATGTTTTCCATAGCTTAATATTATATCGACGTTTACCTATAAAATGAAATTTTTCATAAAAAACGAACATTTCTTTTTTTCTTTTCTTCTTACATTCATCATAAAAACCATAAATTCGATTAATCGAAGCACATTCATGATTTCCACGTAAAAGAAAGAAATTCTCAGGATATTTTATCTTAATATAAAATATAAAATAAAACAAAATAATTTTAATTTATTGAACATACTTTATAAGCAAGTAATAAACAAATTGTTTCAAGTGATTGTTTTCCACGATCAACATAATCGCCAAGAAATAAATAATTTGATTCAGGTGGAAATCCGCCATATTCAAATAAACGTAATAAATCTGTATATTGTCCATGAATATCACCTACAGTAAAACGTTATATATAAGATAAGTCGATTCTTTTTCTTTTTATCATACCACAAATTTTAAGTGGTGCTTCAAGTTCAAGTAGAATTGGTTGACTAAGAAATATTTCACGAGATTTTAAACATAATCCACGTACTTCACCTTCGGTCATTTGAACAATCTTTCCTGGTCGACATCCACGTACTATAAAAACGAAATTCTCTTATAAAATTATGAATTTTTAAGTTTTTACCTTCAAGTAATCGTGCTATAAGACTATCAACATTAAGTTCAGTATCTCCCGACATACTTAAATAATCTATAGAAACAAAAAAAGAAAAAAAAAAGTAAAAGTCACTGATTTTATATATGCACAAACATACATATGTTTGTTTCTCTCTCTCTCCTTGTTCGTTCACTCTCGTATTTCTTATTGGCGACTATGGTAACGTTTTACAAAACGAAAGCTCTCCATTGGCAAAAGAAAAAGAAATAAATGTGCAATGATGATAGCGATAGAAAGGGTTTCAGTGCTATGCATAAAGGGTAATATATATAATAGAAAGAAGAAAAAAAAGATGGTGATAAAGATGTCGTTAGTTATTGAAATAAAATAATAAGATTTAAATAAAATAAAATCTTTTTCTTATTTGAATTACTTTTTAATGAATTAATTTTTATTAGAAAAAAATAAACCAGTTAAAAATCTCTTGTCGTACATTGGTCTCTGCAAAATAATATATGATGATTCATCTGTATGATGGAGATGGATAATAAATCGACTTACATCATTCATTTAATTGCAAAACAAAGCGAAAACAATGTCCGGACGTCAAGGTGGTAAATTGAAACCATTGTAAGTTACTTTTTGAATTTTATATCTAAATATTTCGAATTAATTTTTATAGAAAAAATCCTAAAAAGGAAGACAAAGAATTAGATGATGATGAAAAAGCATTCAAAGAAAAACAACGTGAAGAGCAAAAGAAACTTGATGGTTATTTTAAACAATAATTGATTATTGTATTCTAATTCATATCTTTTTATTTTTATAGAAGCCAAGAAGAAAGCTGGCGGTAAAGGTCCACTCAAATTGGGCAAATAATCAATTCGAATTTCTTTGACTGACAATAAGAACGCTAACTGCTGATTCATTTTTTTTGTTCCATCTATTGTAACTTTTTTTTTCTTGTTTCACCCAATAAATATTCAGGCAGGCTTTTGATGTTCTATTTTGTCTATATTATTATAGATAAAAACATTTTTTATCTGTTTTTTAATGGGATTTGGTAAATTTTATAGAACTCGATTATCTCCATTTGTTACTATAGCTGCTCTTTTCATTGGCATTCATATATCTTGGTGGTCAATTCAACAAAAGTGTGTTGAAAATAAAAAATAAATAGGAATTATTGATGTCTTTTATTCTAGCCCAGCACTTGTTGCACCATCTGAACGTCGTGGTAATTTATTAGGTCTTCGTATTCCATATTTATCGCCACCTACTGACGATAAAGAAAAGAAAGAGTGAATGACTACACAACCACCAACAACAGGATACGATCCATTTACTGTTAAACCATTACAAGTTCGTACAAGACGAATATTTGCACCTACTGGTGGTTCAATTTCTTTTGCTACTGCTGTTTTTATTGCTGCTAGTTGGTCCGCGTGTTTTTATTTATTAGTACCACTTGAATATATTAGGTAAATAGGAAAAACAGAAAGATATAAAATAAATTCAGTTTGTTTAATTTTAGACCTGATATAATCGGTTGGAATCGTAGTGCTCGCGCTCGTGAATTATTAACCAAAAAAGACGAAGAACAAAAAATAATCGTTAAATAAAATGGGTTTATTCAGAGAAGGTCTTTTTGCTTTTCGTGGTCGAAGATTTATTGAATGGCTTTTTATGGATCGTCCTCAACTTCCTATATTGTTTGGTCTTTCATTCTATACTCTTTTCTATCTCAATTATAAATATGACTTACTTGCACGATGGAATGGTCAACAAACTTACAATGATTAGTATGAATTTTTATTATTAAACTTCTTTTATTTATTATTCTTCTTATATAGTTCCTATGTTAAAGAAGCTGTTGAACGTGAACGTGCTCGTCTTGCTACTCTTTCATCTTCTCCAACACCTGTTTCTGCTTCACCTCAATCATCATTGTCTTCAACCGGTGCCAATTAAATATGTTATCGATTGATGAACATTTTTCCCTCTTTTCTTTTTGTTGATTTATATGCACGTTTGAGAATCATGTCAAACATTTCATAGTTTGATCAGCCCTTTGCGTATCAGTAAATTAGATGATGATTTTCGTCCTATATTTTGTGTTTTCTTTTTGATATAAATTGTTTGAACTACCAACGAAATAAAATAAAACATTTAAAAATTAGATTAAATTTTGAATTATAGTCTTGATTCAAACTATTGATGGAAAAAGGTGGCTAGATGACAATTGATAACACAACAAAAACAAAATATCGTTTTGTTGTTATAATGACAATGACAGAGAATAAAAAAAATGTTATGTTAGATTTTCTTTTTATCATAATAAAACAGAGATACAACCAGCATGTCTGCCTTACCTTATTTTCGTTAAAACTAACTTCTCCGAAAATCTTGAGGGTGTGTGTGTGGGTGAATGTGAGTGTGGGTATGAGTGTGGGTGTGGGTTTGTGTATGGGTGAGTGTGGGTGTGAGTGTGGGTATGGATGTGAGTGTGTGAGTAAATGTAAGTATGGATGTATAGGTACGGCTAATCTTCCTCCACGCCAACACCCTCACCCACACGACAAAACCTCTCGAGACAATTTATTCTTTTCGAGATTTTTCTTTTCCGGAGTACCTGACATATTCATAATGTCAGTACAAATGGAAATCAATATGAATAGCTTGTTTTCTGTTTATAATAAAATATTTATTCTCTAATTCAACAAATATATTTTCTATTTACAAAAAAAACACACTATTTATGAATCAAACAAAGCACCGAAACAAGGAATACCTTTCCGCCAAAGTGCGTTTGTTATTTCATTCGTAAATTTTTCATTTGAAACAATAAATACAGCATGGGAATTTGTTTTCCAAAAATGATCTTCAACTAATTGAACACCAGGTCGTCCATGGATTTTTGTATCATGTAAAGTAAAATGTGGTTGACGACTTTGAACTAATTTCCAAATATATTCACCATAATTATTTTCATGTTGTTTAGCAATCCATAGAATATGTGTATGACATGTAGGTAATGGATCTTTAATATAAGGTAATGCTGGTGCAATACCAGCACCTGTACATACAATTAACACCTTTTGATAAGCATGAATACTATACATAAAACCAAGACCTTTGATACGTCGAATCCAGATATGTTCTGGTAATTTATTCGTTTGATAATTTTCAGCTAATTTTTTTGTCCAATCTCCAGCTGCTGCAACTAATATTGAATGTTGATCTGAACATGGATTAGTAAGAGCAATAGCAAATGCATGCCACTCATGTCCATCAAAAGATATACGTGTTGTTGAACCGTATGGATAAAGTGCTTGAGGAAATGTAATAACAGTTAAATCTTTTGATGGTTGACTAAACTGTGCTGAGACTTTACGTACCCAAATCCAAGGTAAAATAATAATGATAACAATGATTATTAAAATTATTACAGCTTCATTAAATAAAGCTTTTGTACTAAAAGATTGAAAGTTGTCTAATTGAAGAAAGATTACATGAACAATAAGTACGACTAAACATGTCCAACCAACATAACGATGAATATGTTCAAAAACATTATGAAAACGGCGACGTATGATTGGCATTGCTGTCAATGAAAGAAATATAACAAAAAATAAAATAATGCCACCACTAATTCGTACAACTAAACCATGCCATTCACAACTAAGAGATATTAATAACCAGAAAAAAGTAGCAATTGCTGATGAAACATGAAGTCCACCAATGCAATGTAACATTCGATTAAATTCATATTTAAAATACGGAATTACTCCAACAAAACAATGGAGTAGAGAGATAAAGATTTCATTTCGTACTAGAACACCAAATAATAATTCAAATATCGCTATTGTACCAGCTGATGTTTCAATTTTATGAGTAAAATAGAGTACACACAGTACAACTGTAATTAAGACGTGAATGACAAGCCACACTTGATGGCAAGTTAAAAAATCAGGAACTATACGACGAATAAACGTCTCTACAGTATGCATTTTCATAGTAGTTGGTTGAATCAATTCATCGTCGAGATTTATTCTAACTTCACCATGTTGCCGAATTGGTGAAATATCAGATAATGATTCACTTTCAGTTGAATTTTCATCACTTTCAATACTATAATCATCAATCGAGGTAAATGCTGTTATACAATCAGATATAAATCGTTTTCGCTGAACAGGAGCAGCAGGATGATCAGATACAGCACGCCGAAATCTATTCAAATGCGGCATAATTGCAGCAGCTGCATGTTGAAATTTTTCCAATGAATGAGTACTTTTATAATTATCGGTTGCCATTTCACGAGTTGAATATTGAGCTTCGAATTAAAAATATTCTTCTGTTCCCAGTGATGTAGAATGAAGTTTATGTGGGATTTAAATACCATTTTATAAGATATAGTATAAGAATTTTCCATGATATTTTAAGACATCAGAAGCCTTGAGTCATTCATGTCAGAAATCTTCCAACATAGTAAGATACTGCAATCATGCATTACATTAACTTAGATATTTTTGAAGTCACCAATGTATGATTTTTGTTGTATTTTACAGTTGTCTGTAATACATTGCTTCAGATGTGAGTCATGAAGTTTACCTTGTTGTCTCAAGCTGTTTCGTTCTGTTTTATAGACTTTTATTTAAAAAAATACAATCTTCGTATTTTTCATGTAATCTAAATATCATACATTGACGCACGATGTCGATGATGAAAAAAGGAAGTGCCTATATAGGTACATGTGTGCATCTCTAGTTGACTATGGACATATAGGTAATTATAACCATCTCGTTAGTAAATATGACATTATATTATTATTTTATATATATTTCTTCATTAATATAAATTACATGTTTTATCTTTTTTATGATTTTATTTTAAAAACAAATTCGCAATATAATCAAGCCGATCGTTGAATTACTCGTCATCCATTTTTTATACGTCTTCTAACAGAATCACTACGATGGCATATATATATATTACATTTTAGTATTAAAAGTGATCGAAGAGTCTTTTCATTGATTTTTGTCGAAGAATGTTTAATATTCACTAGTTGATAATACTCAGGGAATAAAAAAAATGAAGTAAATTACATTAAATGATAAATCGGAAATTATATTGATGTATTTTATTTTCATTGGTTGAAATAAAAATCTGTATTAAACTCATTCCGTGTTTTTCACGAAAATTTGCATTTGTATTAGTAAAAATGACATATTTCAAAAATCATGTTCTTTTCATCATCCGAAATGTCATTTTTTTTTATCGTCCTTGTCTCACAAACGTCATTATTTTTTATTGTCTGGGTAGTTAATGCATCAATTTTTATGAATGAAGAATTACCACGAACACGAATAAATCCTTCGATTTAAATATACTATCAAAATGGACTTTTTATATTAAACGTTAAGAATGAGATTATATTAAAACAATCTATTTGATTCGAAAGGGTTAAAGTGAAAAGTAATCAATTTATCTTGATGAAGGTTATGTTATCAGATTGTCAACTATTAGATTTTTCTCTTGAGGGTGTGGGTGTGAATGTGTAGGTGAGGATGAATGTAAGTGTGGATGTATAGGTACGGGTAATCTTCGTCCACGTCAATATCCTCACCCACACCCACACCCACATCCTTAAATCATCGTCACCATGTCTACTTCCTATAAGTAAGTATCTAATACCTTTATCTACTAAAGGTTAATCTTGTATACAACCATGTTCTTCTGTTTATATCACTCTTTAGTCATATCATCATCTTTAAAATGATCATTCGACAAAAAGAAATTACTCAAAAAAAACAATTCTCATTCAATTCGGTATAAATACCCTTCTAAGACTAGCTGTTAATGATTGACGTATGACAAATTGATATATTAAATACTTGTCTTATTCGATCTAATAAATATGGCGTCAGAGGTTATTTAGTAAACATTAACAAACTAAACAAATATTTTTTCACCGTCAATAACATTTCTTTGTACTTGAATAATATATCTTTTATGATATATTTCGGTAAAATATCATTTTTCTTTATTGTTTATCAGTGTCAATAGGTGAGTAATTGATGTATTGAAAGCAATCAACATATAGTATTTACTACCGAAATGTAATATCTTTATATTTCATTCTTGCAAATAGTAGATAGAATCAAATATATGATTTAATCTAAATTATGATATTCATATATGTACCGATAAATTCATTCTAGTGGAAGTCTTTGCAGACATACATACACTTAACATTTCTTGCATCTATAGAATAATAAGTAGAATGTTCCTGAATTCTTGTACTTGATCTTTTAGGTCTAGTACAAGTCGTACAACTAATAATTAAATTGAGGAAAAAACATGAAGTATTTTGACAATAGAATGAATCTGATACGAATAAACCAATTATATATAGAGAAGGCAATAGTTTTTTCACTGCTTATTATATTACAAGCAAAATAATTTTATTAATTATTTTATGAATGGCCTCTTAAAGATATGATATATATCCTATTTGACATTGCCGATACTCTTCAAATCGATAGAAATCATTTATCTTTACTGAAGATCCTTTTTTTTCATATTCTTTTAAAAAACACTTGTAAAAGTCAAAATTTTGTTGTTTTATGTTCATTCAGAACTTATGTCCTTGGAATCGCTTTGATTTGGACGATTAATCGTGATTTTCCTAAAACAAATCGTGATGAATCACACGATTAATCAGCTTGTCAATTGCGATAAAATCACCGAGTTTTTCGTGATTCTCATCCCGTGGGAATATAATCTAGTAAGGAAGTTCTTATCATTTATATATGAAATCAAGCTTGAAAAGGTTGAAAGTGTTACAACAGAAAATGCAATCGTTCTGATCTTTTTATAATTTGTTGACATACGTAAAATGAGAATAGAAAGCGGCACGTTATATTTATATGTTTGTTGATATTATCAGCAAAAATAGAACTAATAAACGTTTCTGTCATTCTGGCTAGAACTAATGGGATCTGTTATCCTTAAGTAATATAATAGACAAGACAATAGTAAGCTATCAAAACCATAGATATGGAAAGAACATTTGGACATCCTGTTCTATGTTGGTATCATTATATGCACAGTAGGTTTATCTCACGAAGAAAGATCACTGAATTCTTTGTTCTCTAACAACACATAAGGTTTTCATTTTGGATGAGTTCATAATCAAGAAAAATTATCGGTATTAATTCGTCAATAGAAGAAAAACAGAACAGGAAAAAAAGAGAGCTTAGTTAGTATTCTACAAGTAAGAGGAAATTATTCATACAATCCACATATATATCATTATCAACGATTCTCGTTGACTTCATGTCAATTGAAGATTAAACAATGCTGTCAATAAATAACGTACGTGATATTATTTTCTTTAAATTATAAATTTATAAAAAATAAGAAAACAAATATATATGGTCTATTAGACATTCAATCTTCTGCTATTGAGTTTTACTTTCAATACAAGAAGAAAATCAAAGAGACACAGAGAGAGAGCGAGAGAGAGAGAGCGATAAACATATATATGATGAATGTAATATAATTATCTATCTTCCTCCATAAATTAAAGCAAAAGGCCATTTTGACATATGACTATCGGAAATAGTGCGACTCTAAAAAAAACTTCTCCGGATATGTCTCGTTCATTAAAAAAATTGTTACTGAGTATTTCCTTAAAAAAATTTCAGTTAGTAGAAACTAATTCAAATAAGAATTTATTATGGTAGACTATGTATTATTTCGATTAATAGAAAAACCATTTTCTTTTATATGTTTATTTAGGATAAACAAACAGACGATTTTGATCTATATTTACCAATACTTACAATAACACCTGATTCTGATATATTTTCTCTTAATTTTTCATCGAATTTTGACTCATCATTAACATCCATGTGGAATAAGACAGGTCTACTCCTAACTCCCCATGAAAATATCAATTTACATCGCCATCCAATTCTCTATGGTACAGCAATCTATGCTCTTCTACTTATCATTGTCGGTACCATAGGTTAGTATATAGAAAAATAACACGATTTTAATATAAATTCTATATTATTCCTAGGTAATGCGTTAACTATAATTATTCTTCTTCGTCGTAATTTACGACAATATACAACAATGCGTTATTTAACAGCCGTTGCAACTGCTGACCTTTGTTCATTATATTCATGGAATTTAAATTTATTTTATAAACATTTAATTAATCCTTATCAAAATGATCTTGAAGATAATTCAATTTTCTTATGTCGTTTAATATCATTTATTGCATTTGTTAGTTTAGAATTATCATCATGGTATTTAACATTAGTTAGTGTTGATCGATGTTTAAATATACATTTTTTATTTTGGAATCGACAATTAGGTCGTGCTGATCGTTCAACTTATATTATTCTTATTGTAACAATTATAATTATATCACTTAATATTCATTTACTTTTTTTAAATGGTTACCAACAACCAAATTGTGTTCCATATGCAAAACGTACTTGTTATGTATGTTATGCACGTTTAAATGATCGACATTATATATTTCCTAAATGGGAAAAAATTCATGTTATCATATATAATGTTATACCTTTTTCTATAATGCTTGTATCAAACTGTTTTATTATTCGTCGTTCATTATCAACAGCAAAAAAACAACGATCATTCTCAGTTGATTGTAGAAATACTAGTTCATTTCGAAATGGTACTAATCGTCAACGTAAACAACGACAATTAACCTATATACTTTTATCAGTCACATTTTTATTTGTTTTTTTAACAACACCAGTTATGATATATAATGTCTTTTTAAGAAATCATATACAAGATCGTAAACCACTTAAATATATTGTCTTAGGAATACTTTTATGTATACAATTTACAAGTCACGCCGTAAGTGTTTATTTATATTATATATATTAATCAATTTTCTTCCTTTTTTATTGATTAGATAAATTTTTTTGTTTATTGTTTTGGTGCATCAAAATTTCGTCATGAACTTAATGCATTTTTTTCATCATCTACACGACAAAAACAACATCATCAACTTCTTACAAGAACTCGTTCAACTCTACAATCATCTTAAGAAGCAAGAAAATTAAATCGATCAATCATTTACTGAATTTATCTTTAGGCAAATTTATTCATAATATCCTTCACAATAATTATAATAGCAATCATGCGACTTATTATTATATTTTCATTTGATTATCTTTATTAAAAAACAAATCTTATTTTTTTAAAGCTAGAATGTTTTTTAATTTGTAAATAAATTTATTCATGTAATCGAAAACTAATGAATAATAATAACAACTCAAGAAGATAACTTATATAATATAGAGAAAACAATATTTTTCTATATAAATAAATTGTTCTCTGGATTCTCTATTATTGGATATAATATTAATTTTTAAATTAGTACCTTTTTGTTTGAGAAAAAAAAACAACTGTAGTTATAATTTTATTATATTTGTCATCTGGTTGAAAGTGCATGATATATTCTCTGACAATAACGAGGCACTTGTGACCGCTTGCTTTTTCTCTTGAATAAGAACATTTTTAGATAGATGATTAAATAAAAATATATACATGAATATAAGAAAACTAAATGATTTTTATATACGTATATAGCTGGTTGTTGTGTCGTCACGTGATTGTTCCCATTGTAATGAAAAATAATAGTTAAAATCACATGATAATGCAACAGCCGGCTACATAGGCAATTATTTTCATTTTATTCGTATTATTTTTTTATTAAATACGTAATAACGAAGTACATTTAACTAATATAATTGTATGAAACTATATCTATTGAGTTTATTATCATATTACAATATCAGTAAGCATAATACAAATATTGCTAAATGATTATTTGTATATCTTAGGATGACCAGTTTCAGTTTACTGATTACGGAAATTATAAGACCGAGTTCACTGTGACACAGTTTGTACTAGGGCATGGAAGACACTGAAAGGTCGACTTTCACAAATGGTCTATACATATCCATATCGGTAAATGTCAGTGCTGTCAGGTCTTTAATATGCCCTCTACCGATGTAGTGAATGTTACAGTGGACTCACTGATGACGAATAAGTGACATTTTTACAGTAATTGCATCGACACTGCTCATCTTTGTATTTATCCCCCTGAAAAAAAAATAATTCGACTTGATAGTTTCGATGTATTGGCACTATAAATTAACATTTTGAGAAATGTAATTATATATTTGAATAGCCCGTAGAATTCTTTAACATTTCATACTTTCCCAACCTTCATTAGATATTATTCATGTACCCTAACTTTCACATTTTGTATATCTTTAATCGTTTTTATTTAGAGAATAGATGAGTGAAAATAATAAATGGTTACGTCTCTATTGTTCCCTTTCATATATCTAATGAAGGTTGGAAAAGTATGGAGTGATAGAGAATTTCATGAAAATTTGAGTATGATAATGTCTTTAATTTATTACCAAGGGATAAATACAATTCAACACTTATGTATATAAGGTTATACAAAGTTTCACGGGCTATTCAAATATATAATTATTCTTCTCTAAATGTCGATTGATAGTGCCAATACATTCAGAATGCCGAGTGAAACTACGTTTTTCTCAGGGGATATCATATATTTTATTTCCGAATTCATTTTAAACTGATGAATACAGTTAAAGTTGTAAATTCACATGATAAAAATAAATTTGCTAGTTTCCTTTAATACTTTACGTTCTATTCTATGCAATATATCGTAACACAATCAATATACTATCAGTGCAAATATTATTAATCTTGGCGAATTTAATTCTTACGTTTTTTCTCATAAGTTACTTAGAATAATAGACCAGGTGTTTTTGTTCTCACGAGTCACACCCTTAATGTGAAAAAAGAAGGAGTGACAAAAGATTTTCAATCGATATCACTATACAATTATAAATTGTGCTTATAAGATAGAATATTCTTCTTCGTTTCTATTTTTACTCTTTAATCTTTATTTAATTCAAGATTCGATTATTTAATAAAACAATATGGCTGTAAACGGTTCTAGTATTTGGAAATATGCTGATAAAAATGAAATTGGTGTTACTTGTGTTGCTTTTAGCGGTGGTCAACCGAAAGAAGGAGTCGATTTAGGACCAGAATATGTCTTGAAAGCTAATTTAGTTGAACAACTTCAAGACATGAAATATAATGTAGTATTAACAGGTGGTAAAGTTCAACATTACAAAGAATTTTTCCCTGAATCTGATGAACCAGTTGGTATTATTAAACGACCACGTACCGTTGGTATAGTCAATAAAATTCTTGCAGATCAAGTTTATGAACATATTAAAGAAGGACGATTAGCATTACAAATTGGAGGAGATCATTCAATGGCCATTGGAACAATTAGTGGTGTTGCAAGAGGAATTAAAGAACGTTTTCAACAAGATATTAAAGTTATTTGGGTAGATGCTCATGCTGATATCAATACCCCTGAAACAACAGAAACTGGAAATATACATGGTATGCCTGTCTCTTTTCTTATGGGTCTTGTCAAGGGAAAATTCGAAGGATTAGATTGGATTGAACCATGTTTAAAACCTGAAAATCTCGTTTATATTGGTTTACGTGATGTTGATAAACTTGAAAAACAAATTTTAAAAGAAAATAAGATTAAATCTTTTTCTATGCATGAAATTGATCGATATGGAATTGGTCAAGTTCTGGATATGACTATCGAACATTTATCTAAAGGTGATCGTGGTGAATCACCAATTCATGTTTCATTTGATATTGATGCACTTGATCCAAGTGTTGCTGGAAGTACAGGTACTCCAGTACGAGGTGGATTAACATTTCGTGAAGGACATTATCTATTAGAAGCTTTACATTCAACTGGACGATTAGTTGCACTAGATATGGTTGAATTAAATCCTGCAATAGGTGATCATTGTGAAGATACAATTGCTATTGGATGTAGTCTTATTCGCGCAACCTTTGGTGAGTCTCTTCTGTAAGAGTTTTTGTTTTTCTATATAAAACAATAAAATTATTTTTTTTTGTTCTTAATGGTTATTTGAAAGTAAAAAAATTTTGATTTTCAATAAAAGCAAATAGTATATTATTTTATTCTTTTTTAAATACAATACGGTGGATTCATTACAAAAATTAAAACGAAAAATAAATATGTAAACAATTAAAGATATTTGATAAAATAAAAGGCAAATAACGGAATGATGATGATTTAACTTGACATTAAAAGCAGATCGATATACGACGTAAAAATAAAGAATTTTTTTTTGCTGTTTAGGGAGAGCGAGGCATAAGTTTTGGTGGTTGAGATGATGTTTGATTTTGAGATTGAACAGGCATGTTAGGTAAAACTTGTTGTTGTTGATTATTAGCAGGTGGAGCTGCTGGAGGTGGTTGAACTGCTACTTCAGGTGGTACATGTTCTTGTTGATTACTGGCAGGTGAAGGAGTTTGATAATGAGGTATTGACTGAAATAAAATGAATATAGATTTCTATATATAAAAAATATTAGTTGTATATTACAGTTGAGACAGGAGCCATTTTTTCTGAAAAACGTTGAAATTCTTGATCAGAAAAAACATCATTATCTTCGATGGACTAAAAAATGAATTATTATTATTATTATTAAAGAAAATTTTGTATATTTTACCTTCCATCCTTGATCATTTTTGGCACCTGTTCCTTTGAGACCATGTTCAAATTCGTCTAAGGTAAGCATTCGATCATTATTTTTATCGAATTCTTTCATCACATGTTCACGCATTCGATCGATTTCTTCTTCTCTTTCAACAGGATCAGCATCTGGTGTTGCTTCATAAATTTTATCTGCCTTAAATAATACGAAAACAAAAAGGTATTTGAAATTTTATTTTAAAATAATTATTTTCAAACCTCTTTGACCATAATTGCATCGAGTTCATCTTCATCTATTAGTCCATCACTATTAACATCATGTAATTTAAAAAACGCTTTCGGTTTAAATTGATCAGCTTCTAATTTATCAACTTTTTCCCATACTTCTTCCATTTGATCAACACTACCGGGATGATTGACTGGTCGATGTTTTTTCTTTTTCTCTAATGTTGCTCGATGTAATTGTTCCAATCTTTTACGTTCATCTATATTGAGTTTCTAAAGCAAACATAAAAAGATATAATCATGTGATCATTTAAAAATCTTACAGCGAGTTTTGCACGACGTTCATATTCTTTTCGTATTTCATATTGTTTAAATTCTTCTTCACGTTTTCGATCGAGTTCATCGAGATCTTTTGATGCATGTCGAATTAAACGTTCAAGATCATCTTGACCAAATGTTTCCCAATTTTTATGATCAAGATGTTGAGGAAGAAATTCTTGCATTCTTCTTCCATTTGGATCAGCTCGAGCAAATGCCTGACGTTGTTTTTCTATAAATCATATAGATTCGTAAAGATAAATAATTCATAATGAAAATTTACCATTCATATTACGAAATTTTTGTCCAACTAAATCTCTTAATCGAGACATTTCTCGTTGTTTTGCTTCATCAAGTTTTGAACGAACATGATGTTGAACAAGACTTAAATGTTCAGCAATATTTCCTGACTTAAATAAAAATAAAGTAAATTTTCTTATTCATTCAATTAAATACCTTAATATCATCTACAGATGCACGTTGAATTTTGTCTTTAAAGGCTGGGTCACTTTCAAGTATATCAACAACTTCTTTTAAATATCGTCCATATTCAAGATCATCTAACTAAAATAATAAAGATAAAATTTCGTAAAATAATTTCAAGACAATTACTACATCATCTTGATTTTGATTATTATTTGAAGCAGCTTGTAATTTTTCATTTCTACGATTGTCAGCAACTGGTGGAGCACCAATTGTTATTATAATAATAAAAAAACAGAGGAGATTAATTATAAGTTTCATAATTAATCTAGAAAATTTATAAATTAATTTTTCTATTCAAAGTATAAGATAGTAATATAAAAATTAAAGAAATTTACATCGTTGATCAAATATTGTTTACTTTTTTTTATCGTAATAGATATGTATACGTAGTCATTCATCGTTGGACAATTTTTCTCAAACATATCGCGTAATTTATGTTTGCTAATAAGGTTGGTGAAATATGGATTTTTTTGGATCGATATTAATAATTCAGTAAAAAAAAATTAGAGGTCGCTCATCAGTTGGGTAAATTATGTTCATATAATATGAATTTACTGGAGATTGAACGATACAATTTATTTTGTAAAAAAATGTATGAGATTATTCAATAATCTTTTGTCATTTGACATAAGTTTTAATTATGTTAGAAAAATAATACTCGATTTCCATACATAAAGACAAACCTATAGTATGCAATTTTATGCTCATAATTTTACTTACTGGAAAATTAGCGAGAAAATGTAAATATGAATATATCGAAGTTTTCATATCCAAAACACCGAATAATTTCGCATACACTCATATCTAGGGGTAGGACAGTTCCATATTAGTTCCGTTCTTAGGAACTGTACTTACAGTTCTATTGAAAAGAACTGAACTGGTAGTTCTTTTGACCAGTTCATCCGAATTTGGAACTATGAACTGTTCTACCCCTACTCATATCTATGAACGTGAAACAAATAAAGTACAAGCTTTGACCATATTGAAAAAAATATGATGTCATATTAAATCTAAAAAAATTCCGTACTTTGTAACTCTTTTTTTTTTCATATTTGTATTCACGTGCAAAATTCAATATGAAAAAATATTTGAATAAAGTTCTACTAATATTTAAAAAAATCAGCCGGTTCAATTAAAATGAAGTAGAGTTAATTAAATTTTTTATCGAAGTGTTATTATGTGATATTCTGTAAACAATATCTATTATGAAAAAGTCATTTTTTGATTTCTAAAAGATTAGTACATATTTTTTTCACATTATACAACAAAGTACATTTAGAAGAATATATTGAAAATGCGTACTTTTGTTTGAGTTCATGCTTCCGGTAGCGCAAATAAATAATTTATCGGTTATGGTTGCTAACGAAGAAAATACAAATGAACGAGAGAAAACAATGCTTTGTCACTGACAAATATAAGAAACATTGCTGCATAATGACGATGCAAGAAAAAACTATATAAATAATAGTGTAAAGTAAAAGAATGCCATTAAGAAAATTTTATACTGAATTCAACTTCACACTTTGAATATATTATACTTGTCTATTAACTATGCCTTGCAAGCGGTAAGTATACATGTATATATTATTCTAAAATAAAAATTTTGAGAGAGAAATACAAAAATTATCTTATTTTCTTCTTTTTATTATTTATCATATTTAATTCTATGTTAGAACTGCTGCGACATCATCTATTTCAATTACTGCAAAAGGGTATGCTGTTGATAGTGAATCTACTCCATTTAAATTATTCGATTTCGAACGACGTGCGCCTGCAGCTGATGATGTCGTTATTCGTATTCATTATTGTGGTATCTGTCATACGGATATTCATCAAGTATACAATGAATGGCACATGTCAAAATATCCTATGGTACCAGGTCATGAAATCACTGGTATTGTTGAACAAGTTGGTTCAAGTGTCAAACGTTTTCGTGCAGGTGATCATGCTGGTGTCGGTTGTATGGTTGATTCATGTCGCAAATGTGCACTTTGTAATTATCTTCTATTCTAACAATTATTGTTTCTTTTCTATATTCAAATTATTTAGGTAAAAAGGACACTGAACAAAATTGCGCTGATTCCTGCTTAACATATAATAGTACTGAACTTGATAAAGTAACACCAACATATGGAGGTAAATATTATTTTAAAAAATTTTAAAATCATTTCTATTCTATTATTTATAGGCTATTCCAATATAATTACTGTTAAAGAACATTTTGTTTGCAAAATTCCTAAAAATTTATCATTAGATGCGGCAGCACCATTACTCTGTGCTGGCATTACAACTTATTCTCCATTACGACGTTACAATGTCGACAAAAATACACGATTAGCGTATTTATTTCATACTATTTCTAATTATATGAGATGTTAATTTCATATTTTAGAATTGTTGGTCTTGGTGGTTTGGGTCATATAGCGGTTAAACTTGGAGCAGCTATGGGTGCTCATGTTACCGTCATTTCAACTTCCGAATCGAAACGTGATGATGCAGTGAAACTTGGCGCTAAAGCATTTCTTGTTTCAAAAGATGATGAACAAATGAAAACAGCTGTGAATTCATTAGATTTAATTATTGATACAGTATCAGCAGCACATGATGTTGGCCCTTTAATTAATTTATTAAAATTTGAAGGAGTCTATTGCGCGTATGTATTATTTATTGTATATTATATATTAAAAATAATTTATTTCATATGTAGAATTGGAGCACCAACAAAACCTCTTGAAATTGGAGCATTTGCTCTTCTAATGAAACGACCGACCATTACTGGTAGTTTAATTGGTGGAATGAAAGAAACTCAAGAAATGCTTGATTTTTGTGGTAAACATAATATTACCTGTGATATTGAGAAGATTGAAGCAACACCAGAAACAATTAAAGAAGCTTATGACCGAACAGTGAAAGCGGATGTAAAATATCGCTTTGTTCTTGATATTCTGAATGCATTCAAATAATTATTTATTTTCATCTCTACCCTATGATAAAAAACTTTATATAAGCTTAAATACAAAGTCAATAGAAAAATAAAGTTTATTTTAGAAAAATTTTTTTTAGTCTACCATTGAATTATCCTGGTGAATACATATGAGTTTGTTCTTGAGTAAATAATGAATTTGTCTGTGATAAATCTGAAATATAAAAAGGATTCCAAACTTTGTAACTCTTTTTTTCATATCTGTTTTTACATACAAAATTAAATATGAAAATAAATATTTATTCTATTTGATTAAGAAGTAAAAGATCAAGAATACTTCTGTCTTCTAACTAGTTGAACATGTTTTTATATTCAAAACTTGAAACATCAATAGCCACTATTTATTATTCTATTGTTTTTCATCTTCTAATATAAAAATAATATATCAAATTTCCACAAGGCCATTAATTTACTATTTTTGTGGTCAAAAAAAGAATCGAATACACATTGTTATCTTGTTGTTATTATTATTGTACAATAGATAAACTATCAATTATAGTTAACCTTGAAAAAGAGATTCTCATCTTACATTATTTAATATATTTCTTTCATCGCAAAATCTAGTTTATCGATATAGATAACTGCATTAAGAAAATATATATATATACCGGGTCGAATAGTAGAATAGAATGGCATACAATGTATACATCATGCTATTACTCGGATACGTTCGATATAATATATATTTACCTAGAAGAAGGGAGTGTCTTAGTTTTGTTTATTCTAGATGGTTCACTTATTTTCTCTCGCTGTTATTACTCTCGCATTCATCTATGCAATTGAAAGTAAGTAATTTACAATGGAAAAGATATTCTGATTGATTATGATAATCGATTTCTAGGTGCTGTTGTCAAGGCTCCTGTAGCTGCTAGAGCATGTTCACCTGTCAAATGTCCAGGTGGTAAAACAAAAACATGTCCATATGGTTATCAAAAATCGAAAGATGGTTGTGATATTTGTAAATGTAATGATCCATGTAATCCACAAGGAAAGGTAGTTAAAGACTTCTATATATATTTATTTATTTATGATTCTATTAGGCTAAACTTTGTGGACCTAAAGAACGATGTCATGTTGAAAAGAAAGCTGATGGAACCTTTGGAACTCGTTGTGATGCAGCAAAACCAAAAAAAGAAGGCAAAGGTGATAAAAAGGGTGGAGATAAATCAAAAGGTATTTGTATTGTCTTATAAAATGACTTCAAAGACATTATTTTATTCTTTCTCTAGTTGATTGTACTGCACCAGCAGTAACTGGTATGTGTCGAGCAGCTCATAAACGTTTTCATTACAATTCCGCTACAAAAGCCTGTCAAGAATTCAATTATGGAGGATGTGGTGGTAATTCAAATAACTTCAATACAAAAGCTGAATGTGAAAAAGCTTGCAAAGTTTAATCTATTTTCATTTAAACTAGCTACAATGATTTTATTTTGAAACTATTATTATGTTAAGAGAGAATAGATTATAATATGTTATAGTTTTCTTTTCTTTACGAGTAATATTGATTATAATTCGTTCTTTTTTTTTCGTTTCTAAATAATAATTTCTTCATCTAGTTTACATACATATTCAAATTCCTTTACAGTACATATAGTGAATGTAGATCTATTAAGAATAATTTTTTTTTATGGAAAATATCAAATTCATTTGCTATATCACTACAAAAAACACGATGTCAAAACAATTTTTCCAAATGTCTTCTTTTCTTTATTACAATAATAACATTTATTAGAGAGAAAAGGGGAATCTATTCTTGTCTACCATTATAAGTCAACCTATATTTTCTGTTATACGGAGAGATTGATTATCGATATAAATAACTGTAACACGAACGCAGCCAATCGTTAAAGATCGAAGGGAAAACCTTTACGAGTAAAATGTAATCTTATGATATAATACGCACGATCAAGCTTAAATCTATCTATTCTAGATGTTTCGTCTATTTTCTTTGTTAATTATCAATATAATTTTAATCTGTACGATTAAAAGTAATTATATAATTGAAATTTATTATTGATAATTATAATTTATATTTAGGTTCTAGTGCTGAGAAATTTATAACAGGAAAAATAACTCATGTTGATTCAAATCATATTGATAAAAATTCAAAAATTGAAGTTACATTACGAGATACTAGTTTAATGGATACCGCTGCAAAATTAATCGCAACAACTACTATATCTGATGCAACTACATTTCCTGTTTCTTATAAACTTAAATATAATCCATCGGAGATTAAAGATGGTCATACTTATTCAGTATCTGCTAGAATCAATGGACCTGATCATCAACTTCATTTCATTAATGATGTTAATACAAGAGTTAATTTCGCTGATTCATCATCATCACCAATGGTTGATATTGCTGTTATTCGAGGTAATAAATTCTAAATCATTCTATTTATTAAAAATCATTTCAGTTGGTGGAAGTGCTAGTTCAACAAAAGCTTCTGATCAAAAAGTATGTGCACCAGTAAAGTGTAGTGGTACAACAAAAACATGTCCATACGGTTATCAAAAACTCGATGGTTGTGAAATTTGTAAATGTAATGATCCTTGTAATCCACCAGGAAAAGTAAAAAATTTTATTTCGAAATATTGATTAGTAATTATTTATATTGATGTATTAGCCTATATTATGTGGATCTAAACAACGATGTTTTGTTGACAAGAAACCTGATGGAAGTTTTGGAACTCGTTGTGATACAGTATCATCAAAAAGAGACAAACAACGTAAAATGGTTGCAAAAAGTAATTTCATTCTTTGTCGTCTTTAACCTATTTTTTATACATATATTTTAATAGTTTTTTGCAGTCAACCAAGAAAATCTGGTCCATGTAAAGCACACCTTCCACGATTTTATTATAATTCAGTAACAAAATCTTGTTTATCATTCGTCTATGGTGGATGTCAAGGCAATAAAAATAATTTTCCAACCAAAGTCGATTGTGAAAAAGCATGCAGAGCTTAGTTGATTTTTATTTCAAATTAAAGAAATATTGAAAAAAAAAACATGAATATACTACATCTTCAATAGATATTTATTCTAGATTTTTTTTTTCTTTTATGATTTCAATATAATAAATTATTTTAACATCAGTAATTCGAAAAATTTTTTTTTTATTTGGAAAAAATAAAATACTTAGTAAGATTTCTTTTCATATATTGCTTTTAGTAAATCGAACATATATACGACGGAATAGTATTTTTTTTCTTTCCTTTCTTATCTTTGTCGTACGAACATATGAGTCATAGTTAAGAGAACGCAAAAGTAAAGGTTTACTATGCGATATTTGCTCGATAGTCGAGTATAAAAAGCCCAATGAAACATGTAAAACGTTAAGATTGTACTTCACAGGATCATTTTCTGTAGTACATATCGACAAAACACCCATAGCCAAAGAAGACCCAAACAACCCACGATGACGAGTGGCAGTGGTTCTTCTTGAGCGTGAAGTAGGATGGGGCTGCTCTCTTCTCGAGAGCTCGGCCTGCTTCCTTTGATGATCGCACCTTGTTGTGTCTTCGTGATGCGGCAAGGAGGGAAGCGACCACATTCAGAGTGGTTGGCTATGGTGTTTTTATTAAATTAAAAGAAAAAAAAAACATTAGTATAGAAATATACTCTTCATGTTCTATACGTTCGATGTTATATTAAAGATCGAAACGTGTTTACCAGTTCATATCAACGGATCAGTGAAATATATAACCATGTTGATCCTTTGTTAAATGGATTTATCTCGTACTATATTTTTTTATTAAGATGCTAACAGATCTATCACACAAAAATAGAATTTTAGAAAAAGAAAGTTTTTATTACAGATTGGAATGTTTATATGGTATAGTCGATTAATTTTGATTTATTTTAATGTGATATAATAAATCAATGCATCATCAGTAGATGAATTCTATTTTACGATTATCTATTCATTAAATATTTAATTCAATTATGTATAGTCTGATCGACACATAGAAAGTAGTTTAAAATCAATGAAACATCGAAAAATTTTCTATCTTTTTTTTTCTCTTTTTGCTTCCGGAATAGTAATTTACTTTCTTTCTCATTTAATTCTGATGAACCATCATATATGATCAATCGACAGAAAGAGAGAGCGAAAGCATCTGATTCGATCCATTAACTTTCTGACAGATCAAAGTATTATCCATATGATGAACAAATGTATGAAAAATTATCAATTTTTCATTTTTTCCGTATAATAGCAGGAAACAAAGAATACATTTATGAATTAGTTTTAGTTGTATTTTTTTTAATAAACTTAATTTTCAGTCTGCCATTAGCATCAAGATGCTGCTATGTCTACTTGAACTTGAGGCGTTAATCAAGAAGTTTTGTCTATGTACAAGAAAATGACCTCCATTATATGACAGATGACATATCCCCCCTCCTCTTCTGCTTCATCTTTATTTCTACAGCATGTTTTTCCGGTCTCTCGTTCGTTTGACACATCACTAATTCAATTCCATCATTGTCTCATGTCATAGTGAGTCAAGCAAAAAGAAAATCAAACGACCATTTTCCATCTATTACCAATGTCACTAAGCTTGTCTTCGTTTTTTTCCCTCTCTCTCTCTAAATCTAATCATGCGACGATGATAAAATGAGTGGATGGTCGGCAGTTCACAAAAATGAAACGCCCGTTTTACATATATACAGATGTTCATCTATTTCACTTTCATGATAAGCCAAAGGCAAAGTTTGTTTGTAGTATTCTGTTTTTATCAAGGACTTTAAATTGCCTTGGTGTTATAGAGGTTGACAAGAGATGATTATGATCATGAATTGAAACTCGATTACTTGAGGCCATGGTGGATCAACAGAGAAATTTTGTCGTGCGTTAAAAGATATGTTTGTTCAACTCAAGGTTTTTGCGGATCATAGCTATCTGTATTTATCTATATGACTACAATGAAAGATGAAGAACAAGTAAAAGAAGTATATGATGAGATTCTAAATGCTTTTACTCTTTACTAGCAAACGGATGTTCTCTATGAATAAGCTTTACAATGAATAAAGAAAAAAAGAAAGTCTAATTAGGGCGTGCCAACCATGTCAATTAAATAGAAGGGCGACATGAAGCACACGTGTGATTATAATGTTTCTCTCCTTTTCTCTTGTATACTACTACTGACCAGTTGAACACGCACATCATCTAAACAACTGACACATACGCGTGTGCTTCAAATCTCTTCTTTTCATTGCATCTGACCGGACAAAATCGTATAAGAGGCGGATGATCACGAAAACTATGGTCCATTAGCTAATGATGATGATCATCATTACCACCACCGGTCGAATGTAGAAAAATGATACTCCTACTTGTCACTATTTCTAACAATAACAACAGTCATCAGTTTTTCTTTTCTACTTCTTTAATGCGCATTTGTGGTTTTGTGCTCATCTTTTTTTTCCTTTTTCTTTCTCCCCCTCTCTCTCACTCTCGTTCTGTTCATTGAATGCAATAGCGAGAGGGAGAGAAAGAAGGAGAAAAAGAATGGATGAACGAAATCGTCTCTCCTTTTCTCGTTTTCTTTATTACCACAATTAAGTTTAGTTCTGCGACATGATGAGAGAGCAACAAAGACTACATTGATGCTTGTCGTTACGTTGAACAAAAAAATGACAAGCGTAAGTATATGGCACATACATTTATATATATATATCGAAGTAACAGGTGTCTTGAGATGACAATAGAATAGACAGACATCTCGACTCTCTTGTGCACCATAGGTGGGAGACAACAGTCATATACAATATTATATGTATTTTCTTTTAGATGTATAATTATGAATAGAAAAACAAAATGTTATTTCAAAAATCATATGATGACGATCGATGACCATGATTACCTGTAAAATTCTACACATATATCTAATGTTATTGACTTTCGGTAAGTTTCTATTATGTTTGTCTCCCAAGAGTAAGAAGATTATCAATCGCATCATATAATTAAATCTTGTACTCAGACAGGTGCACTAATTTAAATCTCTGAAAAGATCCATTGAGCCATGCTATTTTTAAAAGTAATTTTCTTTTCTTCAATGACGTAACTTATACTCCAAAATTAGTTTCACTATGCAATTAGGCGTAAAAAAGAGAGCTATTTTAATCGCCGTTGGCTATTCAAATGAGAAGAGAATAAAAATCGATTTTCAATTTCCGTATTAAAAATATATTTATGTGAATGTTGTTCGTATGTTAAAGCAAAAAAAGAAAGAGGGAGGCGTCGACAAGCTGATGGCAATTTGATTGTTTTTTCCCTATATACACTATTGTGTGTTGTATGAAACAATAACATTTCATACGTTTCTTTTTATGAAATTGCACTTGTTCTGTTTATATCTATTCTATCGGTTAGGCAAGTCAATATGGTTTGTCTTGAAAAGAAATAATGATTATGACTACTGTATATATGCATCTGTCAGGATTATAATCTTGCGTCACTAGTACACTTATAAAAGCAAGAGCGAGCGAGAAAGAAAAACGGTTCAAGTGCTTATTGAGACGATGACCACTGTTGATAAATTGAGAATAGTCGGTTACTCTCATTTATCATCATTATTGTTTAATAAATATAACAAAAAACGAAAAGGTTAAAAGAATTAAAATATAGATATATATTGTCATTTAACACGTGTATGAATATTTGACAAGAAAATTGTTCGATTTCATTTATCATATTTTAACTTGATAACTAGTAGTGATTACTCACTATGTATTTGTAGACAAATGTCAGGATCGATTAGTGTATGATTAAGATCTGTTATCTTTTTTTTCCTGTCTGTTTTAGGTCTTTCATCAACTTCATCATTGCCGACCTGTTTTATTTCGGCACCGTTTGTCGGCGAATGGATACAGCCGGGTCTTGTCGATTTGATAACAATCAATAATACATCGTGTTCATTAAAAGGAACGTGTATTAGTACTGTTGGACAACAAGATGTCAAAAATAAATTCATCTTCTATAATGAGTATGTTACATATTTATTTTATTTTTTTTTGTCTTACTAAATTGAACTGTTTAATATCAAATGATGTAAACGTTATATACTATCTTTTTTTCTCATCTTTATTCAATCCAGACATATTTAGTAGTAGAATAAGTTCAATTTATATACAGACGATGAATAAAACGATTTGAATCGAAATTGCTTTAGCTGTTCATCCATTTAATAACCTTGCACGATTTCATCGTCTGCTCTCTCTTATACATATATATATATTTATATTCTTTGTTTGACTTGGAATCGGGTCAGGCATGTATGCAAAAATAAATACATTGTTTCAAACTAAGCTTAGTGAAAGGGCAAAAATGTATGTCAATAGAATACTAGCAAAAGAGAGAGAGAGAAAAACGACAATTTTTGATTGTATTGTATTGTTTTGTTTATTTATTATATCTTTTCATTTTTAGACAAACAAGATGTAAACGTTGTGTTTTATTTATTCCCAGACATTTAAATGCATTACAATATCGAGAAAGTAAGTATCTCTTAATTACCGTCGATCACTGTACAATGATGAGATCTTTCTCTATTGATACTCTATATATATATATATATATGTAGACATACAATGTTTCATTTACAAACTATAGTCACGTAGTCATGCTTACTTCCGTTCGACAACTGACATATTTTGACAATATGCCTTATGCAAGATTTTTTTTCTTCTTCTTCTTTTAACTTCCGTTGTCGTAATGATGGACTTGTCTTTTTCTTCTAGGCGAATGCTTCGATGCAGACGATGACAATGGACGTATTTGTGGATCAATCACGCCTGATACAGTTTTATATACACTCTTCCGGGGTAAGAAGAAAGATGATAAAATCAAAACTAAAAATATATAACCTGTCTATCACAATTGATATTAATTAATAGAAAAAGAAAATCCGGTAGTGCGTGCGTGATAGGATAAAAAAGGAAAAACGTCCATAGGCAATGATAATATACTCTCTGGTGAACAGACGAAACACTGACCGACATAATATACATATAGAATAGATGAATGTTCACTGACCTAAATAAACACAGGAAATTAGCGAAGCTCCCGGCGCCGCGAGCTCGCTCTATGAAAATGAACTTATATGAACGAAAAAAAAGAGGAAAATTGCTACATATACATCTTATTAAGAAAAGCATTAATTCGATTATATACTATTTTGTTAGATAATGCTGAATCAACTCCATGTCCATTTGAACAATCATGGTATTTCGAAAAAAATCATCAATTATCAACATCATGTCAATTAAAATCATTTCAACATTGTTTTTCATCAAATACATTCCAATTAACATATAATAATCGATGTCCAACTAATCAAAGTAAAAAATATTTAAAACATAAAAAAAAAAGAAGAAAATTTTCTTTTTACAGATGTTCAAGCAACATGTTTTGCACATTTTACTGATGGAATTATAAATTATGTTGTTGCTCGAAGTATTGATCGACAACGATTTGTTTGTTTTGTAAGAAGTTTTATTGAGATAAATAGAAACAACTAATTATTTCATTTAGTCTTATACAAAAACAAAACGTGATGAACAATCTATACCGCCAAATGAAGTTTATCTATCTGCAGATGATACATGTAGAGATTTACTTACACGTGAATCAGCTATTGTATTAAATGTCCTTCCAAGTAAATAATCATTTAAAATTATTTATTCATTTCATATTTTTAATTCTTAGGTACATCTCATCATCAATTTGAATCGAAAACTCAATTACCAGAATGGACTCATGGTAAATGGTTAACAATTGGAACAAATATAGTTTATATTAATAATACTCAATTTATTATGAAAACACATGATGAACAAAATATTCTATATGATCTAAGATTTACTCGAATTTTGACTAGTCGTCGACAACATGAAAATGCCATTCGTATTAAAGCAAAATCTTTAGAACAATGGTAAAATATTTTCTATGTGAGATTTATTTATGTTGTTTTTTTTTGTTATAGTTCATCTATATTTTATTGTATTAAAATAATTTATCGATCATCATCAGTTATTGATCTTACAATTGGTAAATTTTATTTTTATAAAGAAAAAGATATCGAAATATTTTGTTTAGGTTTTGATGAACATGGATGTAAAGAAGGTCATTTACATCATACACTTTTCAGTAAGTTTCGATTGATTTATTTAATTCTATAGAAATTTCTATGAATATATTAGAACCTTCAATATCTTCGAATATTTCTTGTCCACAAATGGGCACTTATAAATCATCAAATACTTATCGACCATCAATTCCTATTTCAACATGCTCAACTGGTCTTTGGACATTATCTCTTGGATGTGAATTAACAAATAAAAGTGAATTAACATTTTCTTCTTCATGTCGTCATGAAACTGTGCCTGATGTTCAAATATTAACATCAATTAAAGGTATATGCTTAGCATCATGGCGTACAGATCATCGATTTCAACGTACAATTATTCTCTATGAACAAACAAGAGCTTTTTGTTTGGTAAAAAATTCTTTTGTGATTTTTCATAAAAAATTAATCAATTTCTTATAGATTCAACCATTGAAACAAATGACAGCAAGTTGGATAGTATCGGAATCAAGTTGTACAAATCTTGATACATTATCAATAAATGTTGAAAATAGTTTAAGATATTCTGATAATTGTGAACATTATAAAAAGACCTATCAATATCTAACTACAAACCATAGTTCTATTCAAAGAATATCTTATTTATTGTTTTGTTTTTTAACTGTTCTTTTACTATGCAAGTATTAAAATAAATAAATATATATATGTTTTTGTGTGATAACTGGTATATATATTTATTACACTGTATCAAATTAATTTGATAATTGTTCTCCATCATATATAAATCTGTTTTTAAACAAGCTCTACAAGAAGTAAATGTATATCAAGCAGTTTTTAAATCACTGATGTCTAAATTTTCGCGAAAAACTGTAATCATCTGTTTTTGATTGCTCTAATAGATACTGTGCTGAGTCGACTGATGATGCTCAAGGAAAAAGAAGCACACAGTTACAAGTTACAATTTGTCGAAAAACTTGACCTACTATTCAACGGATAAAACAAGTTCGCTTTCAAAAGTATCGATCATTTATCTTTAATAACTCGAAAATATTTGATATACAATCCTTTGCAATGTTTTAAGACTTGAGTATTCATCACATTCTTTCGTTTTATATATAATATTACTCATGCTTATAATCGATAAATACTTTTATTCCGTTATCTGTTTATTTTTCATTTTATTCTCAATCATTTCAAGAAAGTAAATACAAGGTTACATATCCGCGAAAAAAAGGATATGAACATATACATAGAAAGTATTTCTGAAGGCAAAAAGAAAAACAAAATATGAATAGCTTGATTTAATAATCCATTTCTTCAATTATTCTCCTTTCAAAATATATCTACATATATATATATATATAGTGAGAGAAATAGAAAGGCAACCGTAGAAGCTTACATACAGATCCACTGTTTTCGAAAAAGGATAAATATACAAAAAAAAGAGTAATAGACATCGTTAACTACTACAACATCCACCTCGTCGTGGTTCAACATTCTGTATAACTTCAATTGGTGGATTCTGAGTTGTACTCGCTGTTCTTGGACCAGCTTTAACACCATCCCATCTTAACAAAATACGAAGAATCAAATATTAAATTTAATAAACTTATTTAAAAAAATACCCATTTTGAACATGTATACGTCCTTCCGTTAGCATACCATAGATTTCTCGTGCTATAAGTGTAAATGCTTCTTGAACATACAAAGACGATTTGGATGAAGTTTCAATAAATGAAATATTATGAAAATCAGCAAATGCTTTTCCTTCTTCCGTAGATACCTAATATAAAATATTGTTTACAAAAAACTTCTAATGAAATTATTCTTTAAATACTTGTCGTTCAGATTCTCGATCAATTTTAGTACCAACAAGAAGAAAGACAGAATGATAGGGTTGAATTTGTGAACGTGCTTCATTCAACCAACTTGTGACATGTGTAAAACTAACATAATTTGTTGTATCATATATCAATAGAACACCAACTGAATTACGATAGTATGCACGTGTAATACTTCTATAAGAATAATAAAATTAAATAACGAATTTTCTTTTTCGAAAAATTTAAAACCTAAATCGTTCTTGACCAGCTGTATCCCACAATTGTAGTTTTACTTTAATTCCAGGTTTAACTTCAATAATACGTACATTGAAATCAACACCAACTGTTGGATCCTATTGAAAAAAATATAATATATATTTAAATAAATCAAAACGAGTCTAACATACGGGATCTTGAGAAAAAATACCATCACAAAAACTACGTAACAATGATGACTAAAAAAAAATTTCTTTTATCGAATCAATTATTTTTTCTATATTAACCTTTCCAACAGTTGAATCTCCAACAACAATCAATCGAAATTGATAATCATAACTATACATACTATCCATTATAATAGAAAGATATGTTTTTTCATAGACATTAAATAAAATCTGAAAATAAATAATATTTGTCTAGAGAGTTGTTTATAATGGAAATGAGAAGATCTGAGAGACATGTTGTTCCATCTATGAATGACGACTACTGTCAACATATGTCTATGATGAATAAAAATCTCATCTATGACAGAAAAACGTCTAAGTCTTTTAATACAAAAGTTATAAATCATATGTTACGACAACGTACTTTTAATATAATAGAACAGACTGCGAAAACAATTTGTTCGGATGAATCTATTTTTAGAATTTTTAAAGGAAATCAAACAATCAAATCTATCGTACGTAGCTTTTCATCCCAATAGATTTTACGGAATTTCTCAAGAGAACTTCTCTCTAGAAGTTAGTATGAAACTCTTTTTTTCTCAAGATATACTTATCTATAATGATTACTCATCTATGATTGTCCCGAACGTTCTTCAAAGGAAAAATATTTTGAGATGTAACTCGTGATGATCATCAATCTGAAGAAAGAATACAATGATGTCAACAGCTGTGTGCAGAAGAACGAAAGAAATAAAAAATCACCCACATTCTATGACGTGATGAATCGTATTCTTCAAGATAAATATATCATAGATCGATATCAAGATTTGAAAAGATATTTTAAACTCTTTTGGGTATTGAATATCAGTATAGATACAGTAATTTTGTATCAAATGAACAATGAAGGTTATCAAACGAATATGAAATAAAAATAAATCATTGTTCAATGTTTGTAACATTTGAAAGGATAAAAGATTTTGCATTTCTTGAATATATAATAATATCCCTCAATGTTTAAGATATATCACTGAATAAATTTGTTTGGATTATCTTGTTTGATATTTATGACAATGAACAATGACGAAATATATCGTATAATTGAATATTTTAAGAAGATTTGATTGATTAAGTCATTGTATCTCAGCACGTGAAATATAAACTTTATTAGAATTGGTTTATTTTTAAGGCAATTAAAATATTATTGATAAATTCTATTAAATATTCCAATCAATAGAGGTAATCAATTTTATATCATGTTTTAATATTAAATAAATATTCAAATTCTATACTAATTATATGCACGAGCATATATGATAGATGTCGATAATAACGCCTTTCTTAATGTTGAGTTGTGTTTTACGTTAAAATATGATTGATATATCTTTTCTATGATACTAAATACAATATCTATATAATTGAATTAACGTTTTCGCACTTTTTAATACGAAGTATTTAATATCAATTTATACAAAAATAAAAAATAGTTCATGATAATGATTCTAATTACTTACTAGTTTTCAATTAAAATCATTTGAATTCTAAGTAAGAAGAAATTTCGGATGTGAAAATAATGTTTATTAACAAATGCAAAATAAATTCATTCATATGTATATAATCTAGAAGTATAGATAGAGGATTATGTATTTTTAATATAACCTTGGTTTGAAATGGAATCAAGCAAAATGTCATGGCATATTAATAACCAGTCTTCAAAAAAGAACTGATGAATAGAGACGAATTTACTAGAGTTTTTCAGAGATCATGTAAAAGTAAGATTCAATAAAATAACCAAAGAGTAAGAGAGAAATGTATGTTTCACATCTGTATTACAGAGAAATATTCATGTCTAAAGTATTTTGCTTTAACATGTATATCAAATACTATTTTTATTACTGTCTTTCAAGAATGAGAGTCATTTCGAATGGTTGATGTTTATTTTATCTATATCCAATAAATGTACTTGCAATGTTCTAATGTATTTATATTATATTAAATTGTCATGCTATGTCACAACAATTAATGTCGGAGTCTTATATTTGATATGTAAGTGATTGCGAAGGCTTTTTTTAGCCATTCAATAGTATTTCTATATGTAATGAATTTTTATCATAGAAATTTAGATTTAATATTATAATCATATATACTTTTTGAGAATTGATAATTCATTTTTTGTATCAAATTCTGTTTATTCTTAGAACAATCTTATGTACATATTTGAGAGTGTGGGTATTCTATCCATCTGTTGTACCCACACCCTTAAAGTATAGTTTTTGCTGTCGGCTGACTTATAAGCGAATTGTGAACATGGCTTGTTAAATAATATCTTGATGTACAATCTGTTGCTGTTGTTATGGTTGTCGGCATAGTATTTTAAATTTTTAAAACATAATAACATGCCACAGTTAGCATACTAATTCCTAGTAATGCAAAGAAAATTCCAACTGTAAGTAGTTGTTGTGGACTGCGTTTTTTCCATTGTACTTTGTATGGATTTGTCGTATCATAATAACATGTATCGGACGAATGAATCTGTTAAGAGACACGTGAAGAAAACGCCTGCTATATAAGTCGTAACAAGAAAAATCAAAAAAGTATTTTCTTACCGGGTGTTTACTTAGTCCATTACTTTCTTCAAAAGTCGTCGACATTGTTGTGTACAAATTAATAGGAATTATATAACTGACATTATATTTTGCATATTCTGATGTCATGGGACCATTTTTTGTTGAAAATGTTCTTTTCACCATTGTTATTGAGTTTACCCAACATATTGTACTTTTATAAGTAAGTGTCTTTTCATATTCTAGAGCACCGATAGATATAAATGCTAAAGCAAATAATAGACTAATTAGGCCAAATACTACTAGACCAATAGTACAATCAGAACATGATGATGTCATCTAAAATTCGAAAAAATCATAATTGTAATAGCCAGGTGACTTTTCTCTCTTACTCAAAGGATACTTGTACTACCACCAAGTCTTCTCACAGAAAAATTATGTACGTCTACAGTTTCTAGCGCTGCATGTGGCCTTTTCAAACGTAACTGAATCACCTCATTTCAGAGCACCCACTTCCGACATGTTTAGCGAACGGCTTATCGAAAAATTTTGAATCTTTCAAGGCAGATAGATCTCGAGTAGTAGATCAAAAGTTATGCTAGACTCAACTTTCCAGAATGCTTCCTTCTATAAGATATTAGGCGCAAAAAAGCTCAAAATGCCCAACTAATCTCCCCCAATTTCTCGGAGCGACCACGTTCTATCAGGTTGAAATTTTTTAAATAAGTGCTACACACAATTCCCCAAGGGAAATTCTTTATTTCCTTTTATTTTGTTGTGTTTGCATAAAAATGGCAAAGCTATAAAGATACCTAATAATAATAATATGAAGAGTTACTTACGATTAAATAGTTTCACACAGAGGATTTGTGATAATTCTAAAAATGACTAACTCATCAATAAAAGCACAGGAAACTATATTAATCTAGACTGTTTATCTGTTTATATTAGTCTATGCCAGAATATATATATTGTCACTATCTACGTTCTCTCCTCTTCCTCTTTTATGCAGTGTTTGTGAGTGGGAGACAAACAAGACGAGAGGAATAGAAGAGCAGGTACTGAGACATGTATTCTATGTCTTTGAGAGATAACCTATACACCTACTCATGATTATCCTATAGATTGATATGTCACTCTTTGATCTTTACCGGTATGTGTCAGGCAAAGAAGACGCCTACACAACTCTACTCACCAAACTTGCAAGTATCAAGAGTCGCTTGATTGGATGTCATCTTCATTATCAATATTTATTCAGAATGAAGTAAAAGATGAACAACAGCGACTGTCGATATTTACATTGACTTAAGAGAGATGGAAGTAGGACAAAAACTCAATAGGGAGAAATAGATGTAGATGAATAATAAATAAAACAGAAAAAAGAACCGAGAAAACAAATCGCAATAACAGCAAAATCACATCGTATCTCCACTTTAGTAAACATGAGTCATAGAAGAAAAGAATATATGTTCAGTAGATGTACAATTCTTGACGATACAATGGCAAACACTTTCTCTTCTTCTTTAACAAGTCAAGTGAACGCGAATGATGTATTAAAATGTATAAATAAAGAAAAAAATGAAGTATATTTTCGATTCTGCTGTATAACGTCGAACGACAAAATGTCGAATGAACAAATGCCGAAAAAAAACGAGAAAAAAAAAACATCGAAAGACAAAAAATATCGAAATTAAAAAAACATCAATCAGTAAAAATGCAGAAAAAAGGAGAATCCGAGATACATATTTACTAAAAACCATAGCTTTTACAACATACATCTATAGGAGTTTCATATTGATAAAAAAAAATTTAAAAACATATCAAGCAAGATAATGCTAATGGCTGATGAGTGAAATGATATATATATTTTTACTAGCGGGAGTACCTGGTATTGGTCGGGAAAGTTTGATAGTACATATTTGGCAGATGAGAAAACGAGTGTGGGTGTATGAGGGTTTAAAGTATGGGTGCTACGATTTTTCATCAACCCGCACGACCACGTTCACCCTCACCTCATGCAACCAACAAATAGACATTCTTCTTGATATATATAGATGGCCCTCCTTACAGTCGAGGGAACATGAGACATTTCTATGGTAATTTAATGTTAAGATATGTATTAAATTAGAATTTTTATTTTATTAAGAGATAAAGAAAAATGTAATAAATAGAGAAGAAGACGACAACAATCATTGAAATATATTAAAGCTTAATCTAAGATTTAAAATATTTTTTCTTCTGGCTAGACTATTTTGTCTTTATATTTGTTTTCTTTAAGATATGAATGCTTTAACAATTTACACACATCAAAAAACACGGTTGTTTTGTAAAGAAATATAGATAGAATGTAATACTAAAGAGAAGAAGAAGAAGAAGAACAGGTTAGGCATTCAATTTTCTAAATAGGCGAAATAAGAACATTGACATTGAAAAAGAAACAAAAGGTTGAGCTGCAAAGGTGTTTTGAAAAGAAAAAAATACAAATAAAAGAATTAAAATGAAACAATTAAAATTGTTAAAAGCTTTTGTGTTTTTGTTTTCACTCTTTCCGCAAAGAGAGAGATACACACGCACGCACACAAATGACAAATAGATAGATGTGCTTTATTGTTTATTTAACCATTTATCTAATTTTACGATTGATCGACATGTATACTGTATGCAGCAGTAATTTCTCCTTTATCATTTGAAACAGTTACATGATATTGACCTTCATCTGTTGCTAAAACAACAGGAATTTCAAGTGAAAAATCAGTTTCATTGTTTGTAAATGTAAATCGACTTGATTCACGATCAAGAGGCTTGCCATTGAAATTCCATTCAGCTATTATTATAAAAAAAAAAGAATTAATAAAAATATCGATAAAATCTTTTCTTATACCTGTCATAGGTGTTGAACCCGAAAGTTTACATGAAAATTTTGCTCTGCCACCTTCTTCTAAACTAACACTTTGTGGAAATTGTCCGAAACATGGATCAAGTGGTTCTTCATCGCGTGCTTAAGAAAAACAAATTCAGATTAATTATTTATATTGAAACAAAATATTTCTATTTACCTTGAATAATGACTGAACAAGATGAAACACGTGTTTCAGATGCTAATGTACCTTTTAATAAAGCGGAAAAGACACCTGAATCTTCAGGAAATCTATTTAAAAAGAAATTAAAATATATAAATTTGTTTTCTCTTCATATAGTTACACTTCAGTGACGACTAATTTAAATATATTTCCGTCATGTTCCCGTCGAAAATCTGGATTTTCGGGGATCTCTTTATTATTACGTAACCATGTTACATTAATATCTTGATCACCACCTAGAAAATAAAAGAAAAACAATTTAAATTTTGATAAATACATTTCAATAAAAATTTTACCTTCAACCATACAATCAAGTGTTAATGGATCACCTTCCATTAAATTTTGAGATTTAATATGTTTAGTAAATTTTGCTATAGCTTCAGCTGGTTTTTCTTGTGCTTCTTCTTCTTCTTTTTTCTTTGGTTCAGGTTCAGGCTCAGGTTCCGCTTCGGCTTTCTTAGGTTCAGGCACAGGCTCTTCCTCCTTCTTCTTTTCCGGTTCAGCTGGCGGTGCCGGTTCTTCAGCAGGAGCAGGAGCAGCAGCTGTAGTTTTAGCTTCTTCTGCCTATATAATTAAGAAAAAGATAACTATAAAGTTAATCTCGATTTAAAATATTTTAACAAACTTTTTTCTTGTCATCTACTGTTGATGTTTTTTTTGTCTTATCATCTACTGTTGATGCTTTCTTTGTCTTATCATCAGCAGGTTTCTTAGCAGGTTCTTTCTTTTCTTCAACTTTCTTTGCTGGTTCAGCTTCTTTCTTTTCTTCAGTTTTCTTAGCTGGTTCAGGCTTTTTTAAAGCTGCAGCTCCAGATAGTTTCTTCTCAGGTGCAGCTGGTGTTGATGGCTTTTTGGCTGGAGCAGCTTTACCAGCAGCTGGTTTAGCTGGTTCAGGTTCTGGTGCAGGTGTTGGTTCAGGTGCTGGAGTTGGTTCCTCAGCTGGTGCGGGTGTAGGTTCAGTACCAATGGGTGCTTCTACTGGTGCTGGTTCTGTTGTAATATTAGCACTTTCAGGAACTTCAGCAGCAGCTTCTGATGGAAGTTTTTCTTCAACTTTAGCAGCTGTGTCACTAGCAACACCTTCAGCTGGTTCAGGAGCAGAAGTCGAAGTAAGAGTTTCTTCACTTGTTGCTTGTGATTCAGCTTTAACAGTTGTTTCATCTTCTTGTGTTAAAGATGCAGCATATACATCTTCATTTTCACCAGGTACATGAGCTACAACAATAATAATAATAATCAATGGATTCGATATAGATTAAATAATACCTTTAACAGTTAGCTGAGCACTTGATGTATCCGAACCTTCATCATTTTTAGCGCGACAGATATATTCTCCATTATCATCTAATTTAACTTTTTTGATGACTAATATTGCAACATCATCATCATATGTTTCTTGAATACGAGATTCAGATGGTAAAGACTAAAAATAGAATATTTTATATTTGAATTCTTTTCTTTTCTCGAGTATGTCAAATTTTACTTCGCCATTCTTCAACCATTCAATTCTAGGTGTTGGTTTACCATTAACTTCACAACGAAATTTAGCTGTAGCACCTATTTGACAAAAAACAAATTTATTAAATAAAAAAAGTAATGAAATATATATATTTTCTATACCTTCAAAGACTGTAACATCCGAGAGTTGTTCATTAAATTTCGGTGGATCACGTCGTTCTTTACGTTCTAAATATATAACAGAATAGTTCTTTAGTTAATCAACAAGAGAGTTATATTTTATTTATAATTATCATATAGATAAAAAAATACTATTTTTAGACAAGATTTATCTAGACATATACATATATATAATAAATAATCTTTACATTAAGAAAAAATACAAAAGAAACGTACTTGGTTTTTCGACGTCAAGTGTGTCACGTGCAGGTTTTTCTCCAGCACCTAATTTATCACGCCAACTTGAATCTTTACCTGACGCACGAGATGGTGATGGCGAACGTGGTCGACTTGCATCACCATCACCTGGTCGAGCTGAATGAGCACGTCGTGTTCGACGTAATTCTATAATAAATTAATTTATTCATTCATTCATAAAAATCCAAATTATTTATTTACCTTCAACATGAACTAAAGCAGATGTTTCATCGGTACCTAACGGATTTGTAGCAAAGCAACGAAACATTCCACTATCTGAAGGTTCACATGCCGTAATTTCTAAGGTGCTTACACCATGAACATAAGATGTTACATAATGTGAATCATTATCACTTAATTGTGTACGATCTTTAAACCATTGCACCTGTAAAAAAATGAAATTTTTTTTAAATTAAAAAAAATAAAATTATGAATTAATTACCTTTGGTGGAGGTTTACCACTAACACAACAAATCAATTTACATCCAATACCTTCTTGAATAAGACGTGGTCGAAGCATGAATGTAAATATTGGTTTCGAATCAGGTTCTTTCCATAGTTCAGTTGACACTTCGTGTACTGGACGTCGACTATAACTAACATCTCGATGTTCGACACGAGTTGTTTCAGGAATAGCTATAGAAATAAAATAAATAAGTACGTTATTTTTTTGTATTTTTTATTTATTAATGAAAACAAAATGAATGATAATAATAATAATAAATTATTAGCTTACAAACTGGACCGACTGACTTTGCTCGGTGAAATAGTCGTTGTCGATAGAGTGCACGATAAGCATATGGTGTTTCAAAATTATGATGTCGTGGTGAACCACCAAACATAACACGTGAGAAGCTCGAATAATTCGATGATGAAGAATCGTACCAAAAGTTGTCCATCTCTCCCTCTTACAGCAGCGTTAGCAGTAGAGGAGTGATGATAAAAAACAACAAGAGAAAAGAAAGACAAGCAAGCAACCTAAACAAGACTATCTAAACCGCATGAAAGATGAGAGTTGTTGGCACCACACATGTTGGCCCTCTTTTCTCCATGCTGATTCTATTAGGACATATATATATACGCAGAAGAAACTACATAGATCATGTCCCTCGAACTGCTATATACCCACACACGCGCGCGCATACACATAAAATGTCTGTTTTACTCAATGGTATTGGTTCTAATAGAATAACATCATCATTATGCGGACGCTCTCGTACCGTACTCATATACATAAGAATGGCGAAGAGGATACATCCACTTCCATTTTCTTCCTTTTAGGCAAGTAGTATATAAATGCAAGAATATTCTCGGCTACCACCACCGCAAATCAACAACAACAACTATACTGGCAGCCATATCGTTAATTATTCTTCTATTTCTTTTTCTCCCTTTCTTTTCCCATATTTTCCATTATCAAGCATTTTTTTTTCTTGTACCAAACCGAGAACACGACAGAACAGAACAAATACAGCTCGTATCCTGTCCATACATCTTATCATCTTACTTCTTTCTTCTCCTCTACTTTAATATTACCAATCCAGATATATTCTACGCATTTTTTCCCCCATTCTTATTTGCCTGATGAGAAAAACAGCATCACTACTAAATTATTTCCTATATATATATATCTACATAATTTGTTTGCCTACGAGGATATTAATAAGCAATCGTAGGTATTCATTATTCTACCCCGAAACCATAATTATAAATAGAAAATTTTTTTTTCCTCGATTTTTGAATTAAATATCTCAATTGTATGAATTGAACAACAAAAAATAAGAATAAATACAACAACAACAACAACAACTAATAATATTGATCTCTTTCTATATATCATTTTCTGTATAAAAATAGTCCAAGGGCATACACACTCTCTTGATATACAATGACTGATGACGTCGATCATAACGACAATGCTGAAAGTCAAGAGTCTCATTATAAACGTGCATATCAACCGAATATGACATTGACAAAAGTAAGAAAACGATCGATAGAATCTATCGATAACCGACATCATCCATAAGAAAGAAAAGGCAATTGCATGCATAAGAAAATATAACTCACACCGTCTAATCTTCAACGTTTAATGGTGTTGACAAATCTATTCTATCAGATGTCGCTCACATGAAGATACAGATGGTTTGCGTTTATAGTATATATATTATATAATAGAAAAACGAGTAGAAAGTTCATTATATACATCTATGGTATATAATGATAAAAACATAATGGTCGCATAATCAATTGTGAAAGATAAACTAACATTATTATACAATAGGGGAAAATAATTATAAAATAATTGAATAGTATGATACCTACATTCAACAGTTAAGAATACAGCATATTCTTTTTCACCATAACTATTGGATGCACGGACAATATATTCTCCTTTATCATCTTGTAAACAACGTTTGATTTCAAGTTTATAATTATTTCGATCATATTTTTTTAAATGTTTTGTTGATTGACGAATTTCGATATTATCACGATACCTAAATAGAAAATTAAAAGATTTTTTTTAACTAAATAAACAATAATAATTACCAAGAAACCACTGGCGGAGAAACGGCAATAATACGACAATCAAATTCAGCATTATTTCCTTCTAAAACATGAGCATTACGTGGACGAAGTATAAATCTTGGTGCAGCTTCACGGCGATCTATTAGAAAATTTAATAAAACTAAATAGCAATAATATGTTTTTTTTACCCCAAAAACTACTATAAATCTTATAATCTTCGGGTCTATTCTTTCGAAGTGAACTCCAATTTGCCATACGACCAAGGCCGATAGTTGAATCCGGATAATCATTCTAAAAATAAATAAGAATTTCATTTTTCTTTTGAAAATAGTTTTTTTTGAATTAATATACATATCGTTTACGAATACGTTGACGAATATTATCATATCTATTCGATGGAATACGAGAATCAAATTCTGAATGATCTTCACGTAACCATGGATGATTAAGTGCATCATGTACAGTCAGTCGAGAACTTTTTAATAGAAATATAAATAAATAATTCAAATCAAAAACATTTTTAGATTACTTTCGATTTTTTAATAGAAGTTTCTTCATAAAATCTTTTCCTTCATCAGATATTTCACCAAACATTTCATTTGGAAAATGTAAATCACATTTTCGTATATTTTCCTTGGTATCCTCCTCATCATCACTACCAAAAGGTGAAAACCCACTTAAACTAAAATAAAAATACAATTAGTTTTTTATTTATTTCTTCTCCTTTCAACTAACATAACATAGGCAAGAACACCAACTGCCCACATATCTGTATAAAATCCAACTGCATCATGATCAACAATTTCTGGTGCAGCAAATTCAACAGTTGCTGCACTAACTTTAACAATTTCATTTGGATCAAGTTTTGTCGCTAAACCAAAATCACATATTTTTATATTTGTACTAGTTTTTGTTTCACACATAATATTTTCCGGCTAGAACAAAAAACCAAAATCAATTACCGTCTATTAAATTCTCTCTTACTTTTAAATCTAAATGAACAATATTATTTTCATGCATATGTTTAAGACTTTGACATATTTGTCTCATATATTTAATTGCTTCAGCTTCTGTCATTTTATAATTTGGATCAGCAATACGATCGAATAAATCTCCACCAGCAATAAATTCAGTAATCATTGCCATTTCCATATCATCTTCAAATGCATCATGTAAATGAAGTATTTTTGGATGATTTAATTGTTTCATAATATCCATTTCACGACGAACAATTTCTTTATCAGCTGATGTTGATGTTGGAATGAATTTAACAGCATATGTTTTACCAGTCGATTTTTCAATACAACGATGAACAACACCGAAAGCACCACTGTAATAAAAATAAATATTATTTCGTTAAAATTATTTATTTACCGTCCGATTTCTTCAAGAATATCGTAATAATCATGAATACTTTCATGTTTTAATGTAGCTGGTTGTGGTTCACGTCCCTTATCCCAAATATCCCAGACTAAAAAATAAAAATATTCACAGTTTACAATATTTTTTAGTGGCTAAGATACATACAGCATCGATCATAATTATCTAATTTTGGTAAATCTTTAAGTTTTCTTCGTAATAACTCATCATCATCTTTTCCTAAACGTCGTTTATTATTTGTATTGGAATCTAAAAGAATTAATTTTTTATTTTTATTATCTTTTCTTATATAATCTTACCAGTTGTTTGAATAGTATTTGTTGGTTCTGATGGCTCACTAGTACCATGGATATTTTCCGCAATAATACGAAATTGATAGGGTTTATTCGATAATAAATTTTCTACAGTAACACGAGGCAATCGACTTGTTGCTGCTTTAGTCCATTTGCCTGTTTCAGGATCAAGTTTTTCAATAATATAATTCGTTATAATACTTCCACCATTATCTGCTGGTGCTTGCCATGATAAAACCACTGAGTCATTTGAAATTGAATCTATTTGTGGAGTATGTGGTTTATCAGGTACATCTATTCAACAGAAATTATAATGAATACATATCTAGATAAATTAATAATTATTCTACCTGATACATGAATACGTAATGTAGCTTCGTCTTCACCTAAATTATTGCCTAATTTAATTTTATAAGGTCCAGTTGTATTCTTATCTCCATTTCGAATAGTTAATGTAATAGCTCGATCACTAATATCAATTGAAACATTTTTATCTTTTGTTAGATCTTTTCCATCTTTTGTTAATGTAACATTTGGTAATGGACTACCAGTATAAGGAATTTTTATAACAATTGGTTCACCTTTATCATAATTAAGAATATCTTGATATTTTGGTGGTAAACGAAATTTTGGTGGTGCTAGGAAATAAAAATATATTTAGAATTTATTTTTATTCACATAGATTTAAACTTACATCGAATATTTACATTACAACGAGATACTCTTGAACCACCTTTATTACGTGCTTTGATCGTATATTCATCAATATCATCTGGCGTAGCATTAGTAATAACCAAAATACATTTATCACCATCACGTGTTATAGAGTACTTGGCATTTTGAGAGATTTCTTTAGAACCTTTGAACCTATTATGAAGAAATAGTTTTTTTATGACTAATTAAGGACAAAAAAAACAAACCATTCAATATCTGGTATTGGTGTTCCAATAACTTCAGCTTCTAAACGAATTGTTTTACCTTCATTACCATCAGTATCTTTTAATTTTTTAATAAAATCAGGTGCAATTGATGCATTTGGATCTTTAATCTAATCAAATCAAATTTTATTTTCGAAATATAAAAGAAATTCATTTCTATATACTTTAGTTGGTTTAGTTGCATCAGATGGTGTTCCTTTTCCAGCTTCATTTTCTGCTATAATACGAAATTCATAAGTATAATCTTCAATTAATGATGCAACTGTATATCGATTTGATTGACATGGAGATAGATTTACTGGAATCCATTTATCACTATTTACTTCACGTTTTTCAATCCAATAACCAGTTATAGGACCTCCACCATCAGAAACCGGTTTATCCCAATGAAGTTTAACACTATTATTTGTTATTTCATTGACATCTGGTTGTCCAGGTGAACCAGGTGGTTCTGTTTACAATAGAGAAAAAAACAAGCAAGATTAATGATACAACAATCAAGGGTTATTATTTCAACATACTAAATGGAAGTTGAGCAATTATTGATGAGGATGAACGTAATGGTTCACTTGTACCATTTTCATTCATAGCCATAACACGAAAATCATATTCATGTCCATCAAGTAATGATGGAATAGTAAATGTTGTATCTTTACAATTTTGTGTAACAGGTATCCAAGCATCTGATCCTTTTGATGTATCACGTTTTTCAACAATATAACCAGTTATTTTACTACCACCATCATCTTTTGGTGGTTTCCAAGAAACTGTTGCATGATCTTTCGATATATTTGATATTTCAAGTGGGCCTGTTGGAGAAACTGGTGGAGCTATTTTCAGAAAGAAAAAAATATCGATTTTGAATGTTTTAGATTTTCATGAGTTTATTTTACCAACGACTTTAACTTTTAATGGTACATTGCATGAACCGGAATCATTTGCAATATTAAGTGAATATTTTCCACCATCATTTCGTTCAATATCTGAAAAAAGAAGATTTTCGAAATAATTGAATGTTAAGAGAAAGAAAAATACTAACCAGGAATTGTAACAGCAATATAATCATCATATTCTTGAATACGTACTCGATCATCGTCAATTAATGATTGATCATCTTTTTTTAATTTAAATGTAAATGGACCTTTACCATTTATTGGAATTTTAACTTTTAATGTATCACCCAATGAAACTCGTTGTTCATCTGGTTCACGAGGAATTTTCGGTGGTGCTAAAGTAATAATAATAATAACTTAAAAATAGGATGAATGTTTTAGTACTTACTTTTAACATGAAAATTTGCTTCACAACTATCTTTACCAAGTGGATTAATAATTTCACATGAAATCTTCGAATTATTATCACTTTCCCATGTTTCAGTAAATGTTAATATCGATTTAGATTCATCAGCATTTGTAGTAATACGACAACGACCACCAGTTATTAATTCTAATCCATTACGAAACCATTTTACTTCTGGTATTGGATTACTATCATATTCAATTGTAAATATAGCTTCACTATTCATAGATGCATTTGTATCAGTTATTTTTTTAACAAATGTAGGTACTCGTCCATCTAAATATTTGATTTAGAGAAAAAAATGCGTTTTTATTACACATATTATATTACTTGGATATTCAGTTATTTTAACTCGACCAGTTGTTGAACTTGGTTCACTTTCACCAGCTTTATTAACTGCTTTAACACGAAATTCAACTTCGCCATTTTCTGGCAAATCAGTTATTGTAGCATTATTATCAACTGACATATAAGGTAAGGCTTTAACCCATTGATCACTTCCAATAGGTTTTTTTTCAATAATATAACCCGTAATTTTTGCACCACCATCATCTGTTGGTGATGTCCAAGCTAATTCTATATGATTTTTACCAACTTTTTTTACTTCCGGCATACCGGGTGATGAAGGTGCAACTAGAAAAACGAACATATTTTTTGTTTGAAATAAATTTTGTACATACCACTATCAGGTTTAAGTGTAACTGGTCGATCGAGTTTAGTATATTCTCCCCAACCAGCAGCATTTTTTGCTTTAACACGAAATTCATATGGTTTTCCTGTTTGAAGATTATCAACTGTAAAATCATTTCCTTTAATTGGAAAATCATTTGCCATTTCCCATATATCACTATCGGGTTTACGTATTTCAACTTGATAAGCAATTACTTTTGAGCCACCATCATTTTTTGGTTTATTCCATTTTAATGTAACTGAATTTTCGGTTTGTTTACCAATTTCAATATTCGATGGACCTTGTGGTGCATCTAAAATATTAATCGAAATATTTTGTATAGATTAAATTAATTTCAATAATAATTTACTATAGGGATTTTTTGCAATAATTGATTTTTCACATTCCAGTGGTATACTTTGCCCATAAAGATTTTCAGCTGAAACACGAAATTTATATTCTGAACCTTCTTTAAGTCCAGTTACTTCATAGAAGGGTACACGACAAAAACTTGATACTTTTTGCCATTCACCTTTTTTCGTATCAAATTTTTCAATTATATAACTACTTATGGGTGAACCACCATCATTTTTTGGTGGTTTCCATGTTAATACACATGAATCTGGTTTTATATCATTAATTTCTAATGGACCTTCGGGTGTATCTAGGAAATTTCGAAATTTAATTTTTCTTATATTTTGAAAAAATAAAATCAAACCTGGTTTATCAACAACAATAACTTTCATTTGTACGGTATCTTGTCCAAGATGATTTTTTAAAGTACATGAATATAATCCACTACTGCCACCTTTAACTTTTGGTATAATAAGTTCAGCAATACCATCTTTAATTGTTATTTGTGTATTATCATCTGCTTTTATCTCTTCACCATCTTTTGCAAATATAACTTGTGGTGCAGGTGAACCAATAAATGGAACTGGAATTCTTAGATCTTCACCTGCATGAACAATGATTTCTTTTGGACTAAATGCACTAAAACCAACAGCATGTGGAGCAACATCAGGTGGACGAGCTTGAATAGAACCATCGGTTTGAGCTGAAATACAAAAGAAGAAATTTGTTGAAGAAAATGAAATCAAATGACTTCTTTTATACCATAATCTCCTGGACCAGCTTTATTCGTAGCAGCAATACGAAATTCATATTCTTTACCATTAGTAAGACCTGGAACTGTGTATTCAATACCTGAAATTGGTTCTCGATTAACACTAAATTATAAAAATTTTCACTTCATTCTCAAAACAAAATAAATTCTTTCTTACGGAATCCATCTGTTAGTTCCTTTTTCTTTCTTTTCAATCATATAACCTCGTACAGGATTTCCTCCATCATTCTCTGGTTTTGTCCATTGTAATGTAATTGAATCACTTGTATGTGCAATACATTCAGGTTTACCAGGCGCTTCAGGTGGTTTAAATGGCCACTTAGCTTTAATTGCTGCATCAATAATTAAAGGTTCCGAGAGACCATTCTCATTTTCTGCACTAACACGAAATTCATAATTTTTTCCTTCATCTAAACCTTTAACATCATATGTTGTGCCTGATACAGGTGGACCGACTTTTATCCATTTATCTGTTCCAGGTTCACGTCGTTCAACAATATAATGTTTTATATCACTACCACCATCATTTTTCTATAAGAAGAAATTTAATAAATGAATTATTTTCTTAGTTATATATTTTTACCGATGGTTTCCAGCTTAATGTACATCCTTCAGCAGTTATATTTGTTGCTTCTAATGGACCTTCTGGTTTTGTTGGTGGAGATAGAACAGTCACACGAAATTGAATTTGATTTGTACCTTCACTATTTTTTAATACTAATTTATAAAAACCAGCATCATTTCGTTCAGCTTTACGATTAAGTAATGTAATTACATTATCTAATGTCTAAAAAATATAAAAATTCTATTTATAATAAGATTTATGTTTGATTTTTTTACTTTAATATCAACACGATCATCAGCAACGAGATCTTTATCATCAATAAACCATTGTGCTTGTGCTTTTGGTATAGCTTTATAAGGAATATGCACTTCGAAATCTTTACCAGCTTTAATTGTTATATCTTTAATACCATGTAAATCAAGAAATGATGGTTTTTCTAAGTGAATTAAGAGCATAGTATTTAATTTAAAAAAAACTATGATTGTATACCTGGTTGATCTTCAATAGTAATTGTATCTGTTGATCGACTTGGTTCACTTGGACCAACACCATTAATAGCACGAATACGAAATGATACTTTACTACCTTCATTTAAATTAGGTATTGTATATGAAGAATCACGAACTAGTAATTCAATGACTTCACTCCAGTCTTGACTAGATAAAAAATATATATATTTTTATAATAAATTTCTTGAAATATATTTTCTCTAAACAAACCTATCTGCTGTTCGTTTTTCAATGATATAACCAGTAATTTTACTTCCACCATCATTGAATGGTTTTTTCCATGAAAGTGTAACTGAATCTTTGGTAATTTTATCAACTTTAGGTTGATCAGGTGCATCAGCTGGAAATATAGGTACTTCAGCTTTTTGTGCTTTTGTAGATTTTGATGGTATTCCTGCTCCAGCATCATTTACAGCAGCTACTCGAAATTCATATGTTTGACCTTCACGTAAACCCGATGCAGTATATTGTGTTGCTTTAGTTGGAACAATATTACATGATTTCCAATTTTTACCACCCTTTTCACGCATTTCAATATTATAACCAGTTATTGGATTTCCACCATCATTTTTCGGTCTATCCCATTTAAGTTTTATATATGTTGAATTATATTCTGTAATTTCAGGTGTATCAGGCGCATCTGGTGGATCTAGTAGAAAATATAAAAGTATTAAAAAAAACAATCGAATGCTCAATTTATTTTACCATAAGGTGGTTTAACAATTATTGTTGATGTTGTTTCTAATGGTTCACTGATGCCATAGATATTTTCAGCTTTAACTCGAAATTTATATTTTTTATTTGTTTCTAAATCTTTAACAGTCCCTTGTGGTTTTGTAAATACACCTGAGACTTTTTCCCATCGATCAGAATTTTCTGGACATTTTTCAATGATATAACCTGTAATGTCTCCATTACCATTATCTTTGGGTACTTTCCATTGAAGTGAAACCGTATCTTTTGTTGTTTCTGTTGCTTCTAATGGACCTTCAGGTATTCCTGGTCTATCTAATACAATAACATTAATATCACATTCATCTTCACCCGAATCATTTTTTAATTGAATCTTATATTTTCCTGTATCCGAACGTTTTGATATTGGTTTATGTAATTTAGCATGAGTATCATCATGTTCAAGTTGAGTACTATATATATAAATGAAAAGAACTTATGAAAAAGAGATTTAATTCTTTTTTTTAAACAAACTCTCGTGTAGCTTGTACAAGTTCACCATCTTTTATCCATGTAATTGTTGGAGTTGGTGATCCATCAATAGGCAAATCAATTGTTAATGGTTCGCCAGCTTTGACATGAATTTCTTTTCTACCAAGTCCACCAGTTAATGCACTAAGATCGAATGAAGGTTTTTCTAATAGATCGATAATAAATAACAGTTAAAATATTTTCAAATTATTGAATTATTTTACCTTTTTCTGGTTTAGCAAAAATACCATGTGACGCATCACTTGGTTCACCTGGACCAGCATCATTCACAGCTGATACACGATATTCATATTCTTTATTAGCTGTTACATTTTCATCGACAAAATTCGTTCCCTAGAAAAAAACAATTCACACATATATGCAGAAAAGAAAAGAATCGTTCTACTATGCAATTTATGCATATATATCATATATATAATCATGGCTATCTTTTCGATTTAGATTAACTCTGATTCCGAAACAATCACAAGAAAATCTTTCGCCTTTTACTAAAGATTTCTGTGTTTCGGAATATTACAATGAGTCTTATAGACTAATTTTTTTACTGCTCGCTTCATGCGGGCATTTAATTAAAACGAAATGAAAAAACAACAACAACAACTTACTTTATGATAATCGTTACGATTTATTTTTGTCCATTCTCTTTTCTTCGTTCCTTTCTCTCGTCGTTCGATAATATAACCTTTCACTGGATTACCACCATCATTTCTCGGTGGATTCCATTTAATTTCAATACGATTACGATCACGTGTAACACATTCCGGTACACTTGTTTGACCAGGTTCAGCTATGAAAATAAAATCATAATTTTTGTTCTAATGATATTAATCAAATATTTACTAAATGGATTTTTAACAAGAATAGCATTTTCAGTTATTAATGGTTCTGAAAGACCATTCGCATTTTCAGCCATAACACGGAATTCATATTCATGTCCTTCTTTTAATTTTGATATTGTTACTTGTGTACCATTAATAGGATCATTACAACGTACCCAATCACCCGTTTTTTTATCTCGTTTTTCAATAACATAATTTCTAGAAAAATAGAAATTCCAAAATTATTTAAAAAACAATATTTTCTTCGATTTATTACGTAATTTCTTTTCCACCAGTGTCTGTTGGTGGTAGCCATGAAAGTGTTACACTTGATTTTGTAACTTCTTTTATTGCTAATGGTCCACGTGGCATTGATGGTGGACCAAGAACGATAACATCACATTCAGCTGTGTCTGTTCCTGAACTATTAACTAAACGAATTATATATCGACCTGTATCAGATCGAACTGATTTAATAATATTTAATTTAGCTATTTTATCAGTTTGTGTCATTTGTATACGATCATCAGATATAAGTTCCTGAAAATCACAGAGGAAGAAGAAATAAATAAAACTATTCAATAAAAAAGAAAGGTAAACAATACAGTTGTTTCATGTAGCCAAGTCATGGTTGGAATTGGTTCAGCAGCATATGGAGCTTCTAAGGTAACTGGTTGACCTTGTTTCACAGTAACAGATTTTAAACTAACTTTGTTGATACGTGGTTTTACTAAATAGACAAGAGAGAATATTTATTGGAAAGAAATTAATAAAAGTAAATTTATACAGAAACGTGATTTAGCAAGAACAATATTTGATGGTTCACTAGGTTCTGATGAACCAGCTTTATTCATAGCAATAATACGAAATTCATATTCTTTGCCTTCAGATAAACCACCACAAGCACCTTTATTTCGTACAGCATCAATTTCAGCTCCCTTTTGCCATTGATCACGTCCTTTTTCTCTTCGTTCAATAATATATTTTTCAATTGGTGCGCCACCGTCATTTTTCTAATATATAAAATAAAAATTTCATTTTCTTATTCATTTTCAATTACCGGTGTTTCCCATTCAAGATCAACATGATCTCTATCCCAATCCGATATTTCTGGTTTACCAGGTGCACTTGGTTCATCAAATGGATTTTTTGCTAATGTTGCTCCACTAGTTTCTAATGGATCACTTTCACCTTCTTTATTAATAGCACGTACACGAAATAAATATTCTTTTCCCGATATTAATTTTGTTACACGTAATGATGTATTGTCACCATTAACTTCACCAGCTGGCGTCCAACCACCACGTCCAACATCTTGTTTTTCAACAATATATCTTTCAATTGAACATCCACCATTATCCAATGGAGGTTTCCAAGAAACTAAACATGTTTCTTTTGTCATGTCACTAACTTTCATTGGACCTTCTGGTTTACCAGGACGATCTTAATTATACAGGAAAAAAAATGAGACATGTTTGTAATTAAAATTTTGCTTACCAAGAACAGTAACATCAATGGGTATTTTAATTTCCCCTTTAGTATTTCTTAATGTTAATTCATATTTGCCTGTATCCGTTCGTTTTGATTTTTCACTAGAATAGAACAAAAATATTTATAACGAATAAATGAATAGTTTCTTTTTTTTTGTACATATTTAATTTGCATTTTTTTGGTTCGATTGATGTTTGACATAATGAGTAATCTTCTGGTGAAATTATTTTTCCATCTTTTGTCCAAATCATAGTTGGTGAAGGATAAGCATCATATGGAATTTCAAGATCAAGTGGTCGACCGGCTTTAACAGTCACTGATTTTGCAAATCGACTTGCATCAATTCGTGGTGGTTTTTCAGCTAAAACATCGTTTTTGTCAATTTAAAATTTATTGAGTTTTGATATACACCTACTTTCTTTTACAGTGATCTTACAACTGTCCTTTAGATCACCACATTGAAATGAAATATCTCCTGCATCTTTTAAATCTAAATTTTTAAATTTTAATCTAAATTTATTTCCTTCGTTAAGAATAGCCATACTAAAATCAAGACAATTATGTTGATTTTTCTATTTAGATTTTTTTGGAAATAATTACTTTTGATCTGGATATAGAATTTTTCCATCTCTTAACCATTTTCCTCTTGTATCTGATTTCGATAATACAACTTCTAATGTAATTTCATCACCTTCAATTGCATCAATATCTTTTAAACCTTTTTCAATACGAAGTGCAGCTAGACAACGAAAAGCAAAACATAATCAATTAATTTTCTAAGAAAAATCCTTACGTCGAACAGATACATCACAGGATGTTGTCATAACACCAGTTCGACATTCATATTTTCCTTTATCATTAATTGCATGTAAATTACGAATAATTAATTTACGAACTTTTCCATAGGATATTATTTCATATTTATCAGGATATAATTCCGGAAGAATTTTCTATTAAAGAACAAAAAATTATTTTTGTAAATTAAATTATTCAACTTACTTCACCAGCAAAATACCAATCACATTCAGCATCTTCATCTTGAACACTACATTCAAGTTCAATTTTATCTTTTTCATCAGCTTCTAATGTTCCAGGTAATTTTGTTTCAAAACGCCATTGTGGTTCTATTCATTAAATAAAATATATATATTGATATACATAAAATATTCCAGTAGTTACCTTCCACATAGAGATAACCAGTCGTTTTAATACCACGATCATCATCAATTTGACAAGTATATTCACCTATAATTCAATAATTATGAATTAAAAAATGAAATTTATAAAATCAAACCTTCATCTGCTTTTGTTGTTTTCATAATTCGAAAAATACATCGTGTCATATCTTGATGATATTTCATACGTTTATCTTTTTCAAGCTAAATAAATTAAAATTCTTTCAGTTAAGTTTCCCACGAAATACTCTACTATTACCTCAATAAGAACTCCATCTTTATACCATTTAACAGGTGCATCTGGATCATTAACATGACATTCAAGTATAGTTGGTTTTGTTCGAAATACTTCCATTCTAGGTGGTAATTCTTTATAAAAATCATACAATGGTTTAGCAGCTAGAAAATTAAAATAAACACATCATTTTAGTTTTCTTTGCTATTAAAAAGAGAAAATAGTTACGTTGTACTTCAAGCCATGCAGATGTTTCAATATCATTAACACGACAGAAATATTTTCCTGAATCATCTGGATGTAATTTATAAATAGTTAATTTTTGTCTAAATAGAGATTAAAACAAAAACGATTTTATATACACGTAACGCTCGTCCGAAAACTCCCTTGTTTTTTTAACTTATGCGCCTCTCTTCATCCTCCCTCACTATGGCCACCCAACAGATCTCAAATTCGAGCTCCCCGCATGGAAATATCTCTAGAAATGTCTTCTTCAGAAAATAGGTTTTCGATGTTTTTTTGACCTTGCGGACATACAAGCAAGCAATCAGACAATTTATGTTTACTGGACTCTTCTCTACGAGAAAGAGAATATTTTAAATAAATTCATACTTAGCTCCACTTGAATCAAAATGATATTTTAAACCATGAAAAATTTCGACTTTATTCTTAAGCCTTAATGAGCAAAAAATAAATAAATTTTTTTCTATTTTATTAAAAAATAAATTTACCATCGTATTCGTGTACTTGGTTTACAAAACGTACATTGAAAAGTTATTTCACCATCTTCTTCTTTACATTTTATGTCACGTAATGGTTCGACAAATGATTCTTTTTCCTAATTATATAAATTGTTTTATATTCAAGATTTCTTCATGTACATGCTCATGCATATTTAGATTAATAAAATAATATCACACAGTCATGCATAGAATAAATCCACAATATTTCCATGTTGTATAAAATATAATTTTCACCTTTTCTGGTCGTTTAACTTTATTTAAAGCTGGCCAACCAGGTACAACTTCAGCTAATGATGGTCGTTTAGTTTTTGAATCTCGTCTAACTTTAAGTAAATTTTCTTGATCAACATGACGAAGTGATGGTCGTCGTTCTTCTATTGCACTTGAACGACGAGAACCAGGTGAATCATCATTAATACCCGTCTAAAATATTCTGTCCATTTTTCCTACAAATTCAAGATTTATATATTACCTCTTCTGGTTGATCGGTACGTATTTGAAGAGCTGGAAAAAAAACGAAGAGAAAATGAAGAATTTTTTTGTTTTGCTGAAATAATTTACTTGGTGGATTTTCACTGATAACATTAAGATTCGATGCTGAAGGACGTTTAGGTCGATCAGTTGTTTTAGCACGACGTGGTCCTGCTTCTTCATATAATGATTCTTCAGCTAGAATGATTCAATATTAAGTTGATAATATAACAAGTAACGCTCTTTCTCGTGAAAATGTAGCGTCTTCACATCTACTGGGAAAACAATTGAAAACCGTGAAAAATCCGTTTTCGATGTTTTTTTTACCTCTCCTCCTCCCCTTCATGTTGGTCATCCAGCTAATCGCAACTTCAAAGCTCGTGTATCGAAATACCTCACGAAATGTGTTTTCCGAAAAATTAGTCTTCGATGTTTTTTTGATCCTGCAGACACACAAGCAAACAATTTATTTCTGCTGGACTCTTCTCTACGAGAAAGAGAATAATACATTTATTTTACTTTGAATTTTAGGTACACGACGATCATTTTCATCGGAATTATTCTCAGTTGGAGTTGATATTGTTGGTATTGCTAAAAAAGGAAATTTCTTATAAATATAATCATTATTTTATCAATACCATTATCTTGAGCTTTTTTCTTTGCTTCTTCATCCTTTCTAAAACAAAGAAATAAAATAAAATCGAGTGTAATGAATTCTCATACGGTGGTGCTGCCTCAGTATCGATCATTAAATTAATTAATGCTTGAGAATCACCAGCATCATTTTTTGCTAAGATTTTATAAACACCATTATCAGTTGAAGTCGCATTCTATAAATTATCTGTAAAATTTGTCTTTTGAATATAATATTTAACTTACAAGAATCTCAAGAGTAAATGTGTATGTATCATCTGTTCCTTTTGTTTTACTAATTTTATATTTATTTAATTTATCTTTTATTTCAATTTTATCTTTTTTCCATATGATTTTCGGTTCTAATTTTCCTTTACAACGACATTCAATTTTAATTGTTTTTTGTTTTAAATCTTTTGTAATTTTTGGTTTTTCAAATGCTGGAGCTATTCGATCTAATTGTTCTAAATTCGCTTTATCACCTATTCAAAAACAAATAATAATAAATATTTTTGTTTGTTCAATTATCAAATAACATACCAGCAACTTTAAGAACAATATTAGCAACAGCTGTACCAATTTCATTCGATAATGTACATTTATAAATACCACTATCCGATGAAGTTAAATTCTATTAGAATAAGAAAATTAATTTTTGGAATACTAATCAATAAATCAAACCTTAATATCAAGAAAAATTGTATATTTATTTTCGCCTTTTTTTTCAATACGTGTAACATTTGATAATTCTTTTCCATCTTTACTCCAATGTAATGATGGATTAGGATCAGCAGTAATATCGATTTGAATAGTTGCATTTTTATTAGTTTGTTTGATCATTGGTTTACCAAGAAATGAGGGTGCAACACCATCGGGTAATCTAAATAATTATATATATTAAAGTTTATAAGAAAATTTATTTTTCACACACTTGAAATTAATTTCTCCAATATTTAATTCAATATTTGCTTGTCCATCACCTTTCGCATTTGTTGCTGTGACTTTATATATTCCCGAATCATTTTTTGTGATTTGAGATACTTCAAGAAATATTGTATGTGTAGTTCCTTCTGTTAACATTCCTTGCTTATATTTTGTTCCAATCGTTATAGGTTTTCCATCAAATGTCCATATAAAACTCGGTATTGGATCAGCTGTACAACGACATTCTAATAATACTGATTCTTCAAACATACGAATTTGTGGTGTTTGATTGAATATGGGTTTACCAGTAACATTTTGTTCTTGATCAAGATTTAAAACAATATTAGCATTGGTTTCTCCTAAATTATTTTTCGCTGAAACTTTATATTTGCCAGCATCTGATGTATTAACATCATCGATTTCAAGACATGCAAGATACGAATTATTTGGTAAAGTATCACAATAAATAAGATAACGACCAGAATCTTCTATTAGAATATCATCACGTGACCAAACTATATCTGGTTTCGGTTCAGCTGATATTTTACATTCAAATATTAAACGTTTTCCACCATTATCTTGTTTTATAATTGGTTTTTGAGTAAATACTGGTGTTGTACCATTAATTGAACTAAAAACAATTTTAGGAACGATTTAGAATTAAATTATAAATAAATTTACCTATTGACACCAGCTGTTGATTCAGTTTGATCATCTGTTGAAAGATTTAAATTAACATTAGCTGTAATTTCACCAGCTTTATTTTTAACAATAATTTTATATGTCCCAGAATCTGTCGCAGTAAGATTAGTAATCTCGAGTGTTACGTCATAATTATTTCCTGTTGAAAGTTTAATTGTTTGTTTATGTTTAGTTGATGTTGTTAAATTTTTAGTATCATTTTGAAACCATGTTATATCAGGCTTAGGTGTACCTTGGATTTGACATTCAAGAAAGAGACGTGTAGGATCATCGGGTATTTGTCGAATTGTTGGTGGTTTTAAAAGACGCGGTGCAACAGCCGCCATTCTGTCTTTTAATTTATGAAACCAATGATCTGTTAACTAATTATTAATCTAAAATTGACATAAATATGGATCATCGACGTTAATTATATATGAAGTATTTAAAAAAAAAAAGTAATTATAAAAACGAGTATAAATAAATGGTCGATGACAAGCGAACGTCAAAGAGAGAAAGAGAAAAGCCACAGTACTATTGTATAAAGAAGAAGAAAATATGTTTATTTCTATGTTAACGTTTTAGCCGGTGTTGATCATTTAGTATCAACACAAGAAACATCCGTACAAATATGAAAGTAGAAGGGCAAAGAAGAATGGAAAATGATGACGAAAGTTCCTTTCTTCTTCTTTTTTTCTTGTACATGATAAGTGTTATATTCTAATGTAGTACTTTTTCTCTCATTCGTTTTTCTATAAAGAATAGAAGAATATGTTCTAAAAGGCTACAATGGGTAATGAAGAACTTGTATGTTATTTATTGATTGACTACAATGTGAAAGATACTTTCTTAAAAATCTAGAGAATAATGATAGCAAGATAACTGACAAGATAAAAGCAAATAACTTGGTAATAGACTGATTTCATGACTAACAATAAGAAAGTCGAAGATATAAAAGTATATTGTAATTATATGACATCAACAGGAAATGAAGCAAATGTATTACGATAAGCTGTGCAATTTGATCGACACCACGATGACAATGATGGAGAAAGAAGAATACTAATCGTCCGTGGACGTCTATAAACATAAATAATAAAAAGCTTAATCGTACTAATAATAACCAATATAGACATTATTCATTTGAAAATATATAATTAAAAAGTTCACTTCTCTCAATGAATTAATATAGTAAACTTTATATCCACATATGAATCCATTTTAGTTATATATACATGTCTATTAACAAACCTTGAAGAAATAAAGATTGTTAGGCTAATATAAAAACTTTCTTCGAGTACAATGAAAGCTCCATTTATTTTCTTGCGTACAAAAAAAAACGAGATCTATATATAGTGATAAAAGCAAAACATATACAGACACATACGCCATCATACAGCGAGTGTTTTCTCGCTTCACATATACTATCAATGTGGGTGTCTGCAACTGATGCGGATAATCATACTAGTGCAAACATAAGAAGGTTGCGCATTAACGTTGTCTTCATCAATAGAGTAGTACTGTCGGTAGCATGATGATGACGATGCGATAATATTTGCAATAGATAGGAGATGTTCTTATAAGAAGATTTATAAGACAAGAAAAATAATAATAAACAATAGTTTCACATGAAGTACCCTGTGGATGTTATCTATTGTAAAACTGAGACAAAACTGACAATCATGTTAGAAAAACAAAAGGATTTTTTCTTGACAAGAGTAAAGTTCAAAGTTATTCCAATCATATGTATTATTATTATTATTATTATTATTATTATTATTATTATTATTAAAATTGTAACTTTCGATTTTCTTTTTGTATGATATAAAAATACACATCCCAACATTTTATATCACCCTATGATCTGTACAATGTTTTTTTTTAGCACTAACAGATATTGATACTATTATCTAATGACCTTCTGGAGTTAATCTTCGAGTTTTCTTTTTCTTTTGACTACTAATAAACTACACACATATATTGTATGTACATTGATAGTCGTACATATATATATTGAGTAATCGATCACCCACACTCAAGTATATCGTATAAAAACAACAATAACAATCATGATTGTTATCAATTCCTGTTTCTTCTTCTTCTTCTTCTTCTTCTTCACTTTATTTCATAATATCTATTACATCGAGAAAAAATTTGAATAATTAATGAATGAATTTTAAAATCACATTCATAAATGTAATAAAATACACATAATGGTATACAAATAATTGTAAAAAAAAGTGGAAAAATCAAAATCAAAATAATATTATAATTATTTTTTCTCAATCTATAATTAATTGATTGTGTAATAATATGACGCTTATTTGTATAATTATTATGTATACAAGAATTAGTAAAACAATAATTGTATTGACTTGAATATGAATCTATTAAACATTGTCGATTTCGTTTACAAGAACGAGTACGTATCCTATGGCCTAGAATTTTAAAAAAAATTTGATAATATCAATCTTTATATAATCTGACATAAAGATAATTGTTATGATAAATGATATATTAATGTATGATAAGATTTGACTAAAATTTATCTTACCCATACCACAAGTCACCGAACACACACTCCATTCAGACCATTGTTGCCAATTATTATTTTCGCGACATATTTGTGAATCAATAAAACAATCGATTAAATAATCTAATCTTTCCTGTAAATCATCATCATTAATATGATTTGTATACGATCGAAATATTCTATAATCTTTACATTTCTCAAGTTCTAGATTACATCGATGTATCAATGCTTGTTTTATTATTGGATATCGCCATAGAACTTGTAAGATTAATTCAAAATAATATTGATCTTGATTATTATGTACATATCCGTTTACAATCAATAGCAATTCAACAAGTAGAAATGAATATTGCATGATTTCATTTTAAAGGTAAGAAGAAATAAAAACGCGCCTTATGATAATTTTTCTTTTATTTTTCTTGTAAAAAACAAACAAGAATTGACAATAACACGCACAATACAAATTATATATATATATATTAATAATACACTTCAATAAAATACCAAGGTTAAGAAGTGTACATATACATTAAAAGCTCGTTTATCAGTCTAACCGACAAAGAATAAAAAACAAATAAGACTAGATTAAATATCAAGACAACATAATTTTTTTGATTTTTAAATACAAGTCAATGTAAAATATCTGAATACTATAATGTCATTAATTAGTGAAAAACAAAACAAATACACTAACTCTAATAAGATAAAATACAGACAAAAGTCGAAAAAAAAATCACCACAGTACAAAAGCGCACAAACATATAGCGAAAGATTATTGAAAAAAAAGTGACTATATTATATTCTTGTCAACATGGACATAGAACATTGAGAATGTATTTGGTTAATAATTCTGGAACCTGAGCACTATCTTCATTAATTGCATGAAGAACTATTAAACAAAAAATAAATAATAAAAATAAAATAACCCTCCCCCTCCCATAATAAAAGGCCCAGGGTCTTGTATTATGACTCCGGAACTTCCACTTTTTTTTGTGGAAAAATCCCCCTAGGGCGTTTTGTTTCCGATCGGTTTATCATATACTTACTTTTATTTAAACTTTGTAAATTGTCAACGGATAAATATGTTGAGTGCTCACGATCATATGGTATCACCGTTGTTAAATACTGAAAAAAAAATCAATCAGTGATTAACCAATATATTTAAAAACCCCGTATATATTAAAAGCATTAAAAAAAGTGATAAGCATGTGAAAAACAACATGTATGGATTAATATATATATATATATGGTATATGTGAATGTTTTTGATAACTGTTGTGTAGAATCTACCTGAGCCTTTTGAAATAGATCATGCCAACTAGTCGAAAAAACATCGAATACTGATTGACTACGACGTAATAAGATCTAAACCAAATTTAATTTTGTCATGAAACTCGAATCTATTTATTATTGATAATCCTTCTTCTTTTTCTTTTTATCAAGCTTTAAAAATTGAATAATCACCTGAGATAATATTTGAAAGATTTATTTCATCTTATGACAATGATAAAGAATATCTCATAAACTATTCAAGTATTTGTGGATTATTGATATGAGCCTATCAATCATCCAGGTGCATGAAAACAGAATAACAATATACAAAAAATTCTTTTCATTATTGTTTTTAGAACTTTGTTGTTCGTTTCTCAAGGTCAGATATTTAATATCACACTTATTCGAGAATATATTTGATGAAATATTAGTTAAGTGATTCATATTATATATCATTTAGCATAGAATTTGAAATAGAAATCATTTTGTTCTATTAAGAAAAACAATTAGATTTGTTTTTCTTATTTTTTTTTTGATTAGTCGCTATGATCATGTAAATATGAACTCATGACCTCATCATTCTATTTTCTGCTCTTCTCTCTTTGCACTTCATCTATCCTAATCCAATTACACTAACCAACATCATCAGACAGAAAAAAGGAAAGAAAAAAAAGTTTGTTTAGCAGTTCATCTGTATAATAATAAATATTCATCTAACGTCCTTCGCATTCTCTCTTGAAAAAACAGAATTCCCAATACACAATGCTCGCACGTTCGCATTGATCGTATGTGCTACTGTAATAATAAAAACTGTTTGATTTTATTACTCAGTTTTCAATTATATGAAGAAAAAAAAGAAGAATATATATATATTAATATTTACCGTTCCCGGTTCAACATAATTGCTGTTTCCAAGTATAGAACGACGTTTCGGACGTTTTTCTCCCTGGTGATGTCGACGTTTATTCTGAAAAAAATAAGAAATATTTTTTCTTTCTAATAAACAAAAGAATAATATTTTTTACTTGAATACTAAGAACAAGTGAAATAAATGTATTCTTTGTTTCTTTTTCATATTCAAGTTCCTCCCGAATTGCTAATTCCTAAAAAACAAAAAAATAAATTTTTTTTTCCGATAAATCTTTTTTTTTTTCAATTTACTTCAACAAGTAAACTTGATAATTCTTTAATAGATGTATTTAATTCTTCATAGAATTCATTTAATGAATAAATTGTTTGGGTTTTCATATCGAATTGTTCATTATTAACATTTGATGATAAATATTTCACTCGTTTTGTACGTAAATCAAGCATATCGGATGGTGAATGATCATCACAATAACCCGAATCTGGTGTCATATCTTGTAACATAAAATCAATTTCACTAATAACTTGTTCAGCTGTAAGAAATGGTTCATGATTAGCTGAAATAATAACTGAATGCATATCTAATTGTTCACGTAATTCTTCTTCTTCATCTTCATTTAAATCATCAATTGATGTTATATCATCATCATCGATTTTCAAATTATTTGTTTGTTGAGTAATACAATCCATTGCTGTTTGACAACTTTGAGATATATTCGGTAATTTTAAATCATTACGAAGTGATGTACGAAGATTTTCAATTAATTCTAACCATGTACTATGAGATTTAAAGTAAAAGAAGAAATTAGAAAAATGAATATATGAAAAAGACAAACTTTGATGAAGCAACAAGATCTTTTTGTGGAATTTTAGGTTCTTCTTCTTTGATTTCAATAACTTGTTCATCAATAAAACAAGCATTAATTGTATTATCAAATGATTTAACAAGATCTTCAAGTGATAATGATTTAAATGAATGTTCACCTAAATAAATAAATCAATATAGATATTTCTTTATTATTATTTAAACTAACCAAGTGTTGGATTTAATTGAGTATCATGATTTATAGTCGATGATGATGATTGATCATCAGTCATATCATCCTCTTCATCAAAATCTTCATAATCATTTGAATGAGATTTTGTTTTTGAAAATTTTACAATCGGTGCACATGGATTATCATATAACACTCGTTTTTCTGTTATTCCTATCGACATTACCACCAAAACACGTTGTAATATTCGATAAAGATAACAGAATGGGATATAGGATTAATTAAGCTTGTTTTTTTGTTTATTTCCTGTAGATCAATTTAATAACCAATCAATT